TCTGTACAGTTGCTAAGGACTTAAAAAATCATGAGAGAGAAAGAGAGAGAGAGAGAGAGAGAGAGAGAGAGAGAGGAGAGAGAGAGAGAGAGAGAGAGAGAAATTTCTGTTGATCCTGGCATGGAAAAAATTATTAACTCTTTCTTCTTACACAGAGCATGGCAGGGGCAGGGGAAAGATAGTTTTAAAACCACCTTATGGTGGTTTTAAGTATCATCTCTATGCAGATGCCTACAAAATACTTATATATCTTAACCTCAGCCTCTCTGCTGAGCTTCAATACCATCTCACTAATTGCGTATCGGACATTTCAAAGCAGATATCCTAAAGATAAAGTCATTTCAACTACAACTCAACTCATAATCTTTCCCTCTTATCCCTATTTCCCTGTGTCTATTACAGGCACCACCATCCTCCCAATCTCCCAGGTTGTTAACCTTGGCATTATACTGGAATCTTCACTCTCCCTCAGTTCATACATCCATTAACTTACCAAATCATGACATTTCTACCAGGCCCCCATTACTTCTCATTCAGATATTGTAATAGCTTATTAACTGGTTACCCTGTCTAAAATTTCTCCCCGCTACTTCCCAGGGTTATTATGAGGATAAAATGAGATAATATTTGAAAAGAGCTTTGCAAGCCTTAAGATGCTATTCAAAATGCTGGTTTTGCTTTCGCTGTTGGTTCTACTAACCTACACGTTGCTGTCAAAGCAATTCTCCTTAAGCACAAATCTGACTGTGTGCCTCCCCCACTCACCCAGGTCCAGTGACTTTCTGTTCCCTCTAAGGCAAAACACAAGCCCCTCTGTTTAGCCATTAAAGCCCCCTGCGACCTGTTCTAAGTATCTTTCCAGACTCATTGGACTCATTACTAAGATCTTATCTCATTCTCAGATGAAAAATTTGCTCTTGTATAGTTGTTGTTTATCTGTAGAATTTCCTTGATTCCTCATCGCTGTTTTGCTTGGAGTGGTTTACTTGGTTTACTCACCATTCATTGTTTGTGATGGTCTTTTTTGTATAACTCATCATTCCCCATGATGCATTCTGTGATCTAGGCAAATAGGCCTTCTCTTTGTTCTTCACATACAATATGCTAATTCCAGTCTCCAAGCCTTTGCATTGGGCATCCCAGATGGCTGAAACCTACTCCCTCCTTACCCACACCTCCTAGAGTCCCTCTCTTCCTTTAAGGTGTAGCTCAAGCACCCCCCGAAAAGGATAAAGCCTTTCCTGATCTCCTCCAACTGCTAATGTCCTCAACCCAAAACTATCTTGTATTAACAATTATGTGCCTTTCTATATTTATAATCCATATGTTGCCTCTCCCATTGGAATGAAAGTTCATTGTGAGTAGAGATTATTTAATTCTTTGTTCTTATATCCTCAAAGCCTAGCACAGTGCTAGGCACATAATAGGTGCTTAATAAATGACATGTTGATTGGTTGGGACAGCAAGAGAAGCCAACACAACAGGGTTAAAAAGGACAAGATTCTCTCTATTATCTTTTCTCTTTCTATGACCTTAGGGTGGAAACACACATGGGAAGGTCTGAGAGATGCTCAAGGGTGGGAGTAAAGAGTTGGGGAGGGAGGGACAAAGGAAGGATCTAGCCAGAGTAGTTGTTGGCCCTCAAGTGGGAAGCTCTCTGAGTCATGACAGCATAGGAAGAGTGATCCTACAAACAGCTACCCTCATGACCTCAAACTCAGATCATGCCAGGTTCTTCTCACTTCTCCTAGTTCCAAATAGGATACCTGGGTTACATCCTCTGAATATCAGAGTAAATTGGCTGGGCAGATAAGGGCCAAAGATTTTATGGAAATTATGGAAAAAGTGGGATACCTAGGAAATGCATCTAATTAGATTCCAATCAATCTCTGATACCACAGGCAAGGATTAGCTAGAATGCCTAACTGAGTACAGCATGAGGACAGAAATTTCCTGCTTGAAAAATATTAACACGGAAGCTTCCATGCATAGAAGATTCCAAAAAAGAGAGAGAATGCCAAGGCAGGAGAAAGGGGCATGTCCAGAGCACAGGCAGACTAGAGCCTCAAGCTTTGAGCCTTCTGGATTTCAGAAAAGTCCCAGAAAACCAGAGGAAGCAACTAATAGGCACAATGGATAGAATGTTGGACTTGGAGTCAGGAAGATCTGAATTCAAATCCTGATTCAAACACTTGCTAGTTAGGTGATCCTGGGTAAGTTACTTAACAATGTCTCTCTGCTTCCTCATCTATAAAATGGGGATAATAATAGCACCTACCTCACTATAAGGGTCAAACTGAATATTTGTAAAGCACTTTACAAACATCTATGCAAATACCGAATTTTAAAAATATCAGTAGTTAGCTATTATTATTCTAACTATTGTCCCAGACTGCTGAGGAAAAAATGAGAAGCTTCATTCCCTTCAAAATATGACACACCTTGTACAATCTGCTCCAAAATTAAGAGATAATTTCTGCCCATAATCACCCTGTGCGGTGGTGATGGTTCTGGGATTGGAAGATGGAAATTTCCTTCCCCCTTCAAAGCATAATTGGATCTTCAAGTAGCCACTCAAAAGCACTTCTCATCTGTGACCATCCATCTTACTCACCATTGATGCCCCAAGCATGACCAAGACCAGGAGTTTGAAATGATGAATGCTATTATCATTAGTATTTTAGTTGCTATTATCCATCTGCAAAGGCTCTTCATATTTTCACAGAATTTCTTTATGGTCATGAACTGACATTACTTATAGAACAGAAAAATGACCAGTCCAAAGTAAGAACACCCATCCTTAGGCCTCTCTCTTACTCACTGCTGGAAACAGTGTGGGCTCCAAATGATTTAAATTAAGACAAACTATTTTTTTGCTCAGTGACCTGATGGTCCCTGATCCATGGACAGGCACTCATACTTGTTTATTTTTCTGAAGTCGATGCCTTCAGATATCCCAGAAATTTGGGCCATCTAGTCATCTCCCTGCCTACTTTGGTGAGTGATATTATGTTCATCAGTAGCCAGAAGGAAAATTCTTTACTTTCTCCAAAATACATGAAGATTGAGAATCCTGGGTCCCACTAGGGCAAAAGTAACAAAAATGTAATTTGTGTATTAGATACATTAATATTTCCGTGGAAAAGACCATACGCCAATATGACAGATATGACAAAAAGTCCTGAATGGTGATTATGGGAGACAGATATGAAGAAAAAAGGCAGAGTTCTTTTAGAGATAAGAAAATTGAAAAGTAAGCAGTATGGGTGAATGAAAAAATGCTAAGAGATGTTCTGAAAGACTGAGATGACTAGAAATGTTCTGAAAGACTCAAAATCAGAAGAACATGTGTACAGATTTGACATTGAGAAAAAAAATCACGTCACATGGAGGGTCTCAGTTTTTCCATTTTCAAAATGTAGGGGTTGGAGTAGGTAATCTTAACATCTCTTACAACTCTGACATGCTTCAATTAAAAAACAAAACAAAACAGCAGTTCATTTGAAAAAGATAAGAAGGCGGCAGCTGAATGGCCCAGTGGATAGAGTACTGGCCCTGCAGTGGGGAGGACCTGAGATCAAATCCTGCATCAGACACATAACACTCACTAGCTGTGTGACCCTGGGCAAGTCACTTAACCCCATTGCCTAGCAAAAAAAAAAATAGATAAGATGTCATTGGTGGTGTGCAACTGAACATGAACAGACTGTGTGACATGACAAAGCCAAAAGCTATAATGATCCTGGATTGAAGGACAGTTGTTCAGTCATTTTCATTTGTACCTGACTCTTCATGACCTCATTTGGGGTTTTCTTGGCAAAGTAACTGGAGTGGTTTACCATTTTCTTCTTCGGCTCATTTGACAGATGAGGAAACTGAGGCAAACTGGGTGAAGTGACTCACCCAGGGTCAGAACAGCTAGTAAGTGTCTGAGGCTGGATTTGAACTCAGGAAGAGGAGGCTTCCTGACTCCAGGCCCAGCACTCTATCCACTGTACCACATAGTAGCCCAAGATGGGGGGGGGTGATAGTCTGCCCTGGCCAATCCATATTTGGAATATTATGAATTGGTTCTCTGTGTTACATTTTAGGGAGGACACTGATAAGTTAATGATTAACAGAAGGGAAGATAGATTGGTTGAAGGGCCTCAAGTTAATGCCATATTAGAATTCATTGAAAGAACCGGGGAAGAAGACAAGATTTAAGAAGGGACATGATCACCCTTTTCAAGTATTTGAAGAGTTGTTCCATGGAAAAGGGATTTGATTTGCTCTACTTGGCTCCAGAAAGAATGAGGAGTCAAGAGCAGTTGAAAGGGCTAATTTCAGGCCTAACATAAGGATAAAACTTGCTAACTAGAGCTATTTCAACATAGAATGGGCAGCAGAGAGAGGCAGTCCATTCTCCATCCCTTGAGATCTTCAAGCAGAAATCACATATATGAATACTTATAAAGTATGTTTTATGGGAGATTCCTATGAAGATCCAGGTTGGCCATTCCTCTTCAAGAACAAAGCACCACCAGCAAAGTGGGTTATAGCAATAATGTAGAGGGCTTTGAATGCCAGGCTAAGAATTCTGTCCAGCCTATTTTTCCCTTGTAGATAAAGGGAAGCCATTAAAAGTTGTTGGGGTTTTTTTTTTTGGTTTTGTCCTTTTTTTGTTTTTTTTCATTAAAAGTTTTTTGAGTGAGAGGAGGGATGGTATAACGTTCAGACTTGAGCCAAAGAAAAACTAGTCTAGCAGTAATGTGGAAAATGAATTTTCCTTATGCCCAGGTAGGAGAGCCTGGAAGCAGACACAGACTTCTTAGGCCAGGGGTGGTGAACCTGTGGCCTTGAGGCCACATGTGGCCCTCTAGGTCCTGAAGTTCGGCCCTTTGACTGAATCCAAACTTCACAGAACAAATTCCCTTAATAAAAGGATTTGTTCTGTAAAACTTGGACTCAGTTAAAAGGCCGAACCCAAGGACCTAGAAAGCTACAAAAGGGTCAAAGCCACAGGTTCCACACCCCTGGCTTAGGCTATTGCAGGAAAAAGGTAAAAGATGACCCAGGTTGGTTGGTGGCCATAGGAATAGAAAGGAGAGCCTTAATTACTCAACAACAAAAGAAAATTAGCTCTGGTGTTGGACTAGGGCCAGGAATAAGAACAGATTTGAAAAAAAAGAACAAAGTAACTCAGTGACTGATACCAAAGAGGAGCTGGACAAACCCAGGGTGAAACAAAGAGGCCTTAGAGTGACTGATTCTTTAAGCTACACCTAATTGCAGGAAGAAAGACTGCACATCCAGGACTTCAGCTGTAGATCACACCATGACATTTCTGGCCACTAGAGCAGAAGAGTGAGTCAGTGCCCTTCAAAATGTTGAATGTCAGAGGAAGCCCTGGAAGGGATTACCAGGTGTGAAGAAAGTGATGGGGCCCTTGGGGCTTGATTTTCAAAATGAAAATCCTTTATGCCTCAGTTGGTGAAAGTGGGAGATTACATGGGGAGTTGTCTACATGAGGCTCCCAGGGGCACGTTTTCATCTCTAGGTAATACCCAGAATGTAAGTGGCCTGGATAAGATGCACAGAGACAGATGCACAGATTAAAACATAACAGAGTGAGAGAGACTGAGGAACACAGAGAAGAATGAGGCAATGGGCAGAGAGACACGGGAAGACAGAGTTGGGAATTAGGAGAGGAAATAGTATCAGAGTAAGACAGACAACAGACACAGAGGAATGAGACATTTGGCCAGAGGTACACATGGGTAGAGGGTGGGAAGGGAGAGACACGGAGACAGAGACACACACACACACAACACACACACACACAGAGAACAAAAGCACTTCTTGGGCTTAATCCCAAGCTCCCATTGACACGGAGGAGGAGGAAGAGAGCAGTTCTAGATATGCCAGCTGAGGCCCGAGGAGCCTGGGCAGCTTTGCCCACTGAACTGGTAAGAATTGTGAGCCTTTCCACCAAAGGACTGATTCCCATGGCCAGAGCAATCTGCATTCCAGACTCCTGGAGGTGGGAAGAAAACAAGAGAGGCTCTGAATTAAAAGGACAAAGAGGGTGAGTCTTAAAAAGCAAACATGCCACACTCTCCCCACCCCCTCCACTGCCACAGGCAGACAAAGTTTACTGAAGAAAAACCAGTTTCCTTATCCAGACTCAGCCTGACCCAGCAAGGAGTGTTTTTAGCAGTGTGAGAACCCCTGTATTTTATAGGTAAGTGCTACTTACTTGTTGAAATTTAAGCGAGGTTCTAACCAGCAAGCAGTTGGGAGGCTCCTGATTGAGTTTCCAGGGAAACAGGCTACAACATTTGCCCTTAAAATACTATAGAGTGGAAAGATCACTAGCTCTGATGCCCAAAGACCTATAGTTCACATTCCACCTCTGATATCTAATACCTGTGTGCGATGTTGGACAAGTCACATATCTATCTGGGATTGCTGGAAAATGATGTCCCTCCCAGCTATAGGGCTTTGATCTCTTGATCCTATGTGATGCCAAAACTCCATTTCCTTTTCTGACAGGATTACTATACTGGTAGCTCAGGGAAATGCTGAAAAACATGTTGTGTAGGGGTTCCATCTAGGCATTTGATAGAGTCTCTGATATTTTCTTGAAAAAACAATGAGTGGGTATCAGAGAGAGCTTCCTGGGATTTAGCACTGGAAGTGTCCCTAGAGATCATTCAATTCACTCCAGTTATTTTAGAGGTGAGGAATCTGATGCCTGGAGGCTTTAAGAGATTTGCCCAAGGGCCCACGATTTAGGTAAATAGCTGAGCCAACATTTGAGGCCAGGTACTGACTCCAAATTAAGAGCCCCTTCCAATATACCATGCTATGAATGAATGACTCCAGTTCAAAGAATATTAATTAATGAATGGAAGTCTCTAGTAATATGCCACAACAATTCTGTCTTTGGCCTTATCCTGCTTTGCTTTTTTTTTTATCAGCTATGTAGATAAAGAAGTCGATCACATGATTATCAAGTCTCTGGATGACACAAAACTAGAAGGAATAGCTAACAGATTACGTGACTGAACCCGGATCTGAAAGAGTCTGCCTGGAATGATTCACTTAGTCTAGCTAGATATAATTTAATAGTTATATTTATTATAGTTATATATTATGTATTATACTATTCATTTATATTTATTATGTAATATGTAAATACATTAACGCATTTAATGAATGCAAGTCCTATATTTTCATTCAAAAATAATTTCAAAAGTATATGATGGCAGAGATGGGACTAGACAGCTATTTATATGGAAAAGACATCAAAATTTTAGGACTTCAAGCTCAGAATAAATTAACAATGTGACGTGGCAGCCAAAAAAATTCTATGTCATCTTAATGTACTGAATTCATAAGAGTATAGTGTCCAGAATAAAGGAGGAAATAGTTCCACTCTACTCCATACTGGTCAGAACCAAAATGGAGTACATCTCTAGAAGGCACATTGTAAGGGAGATATTGACAAAGCAGAACATGCTCCAAAGGAGAGTGATTAGAATAGTGGAAGGACTCAAAGTCATATCATAGGAAGAAGGGAAAGGAAGGAGAGAGGAAGGAAGGAAGGAAGGAAGGAAGGAAGGGAGGGAGGGAGGAAGGAAGGAAGGAAGGAAGGAAGGAAGGAAGGAAGGAAGGAAGGAAGGAAGGAAGGAAGGAAGGAAGGAAGGAAGGAAGGAAGGAAGGAAAGAAGGAAGGAAGGAAGCAAGGAAGGGAGGGAGGGAGGGAGGGAGGGAGGGAGGGAGGGAGGGAGGAAGAGAAATCTATGACTTATTAAGCACCTGCTATGAACATGACACCATGTGGATGCTAGGTGCTGTGGATACTGAGCCAAAAAAAATTCCTGCCTTCAAGGAGCTTTCTGTTGTGATTCATTTCTAGTTGTTGCTGACTTTTCATGACCCCATTTGGAGTTTTCTTGGCAAAGATACTGGAGTGGTTTGCCATTTCCTTCACCTCGTTTTTATAGATGAGGAAACTGAAACAAAGTGAAGTGACTTGCCCAGGGTCACACAGTTAGTAATGGTCTTGAGGCTGTATTTGAACTCAGGAAGATAAGTCTTCCTGACTCCAGACCCAGTACTCTGTACAATATGGTGCCACCTAGCTGCCCCCTTTTCCTCTACATGACAGATTAATTGCATGTTAACAGCAGATAAGCATGCAGAAACAACATATTATGTGATTTTTTTTCCCTCTTGTAGGACAAGAAGCCTCAGAAAAGTCTACATCACAAATGCTAATCCCTGGCCAAAGACAGCTACCATTCTCTGGTTTTTGTAGAAACATCACTTCACGGAGCTGCTGTGAGGAAAGTGTTTTGTAAACTTTGAAGCACTATATAAATGTGATGTGCTTTTTTGATAATTAGCCATTGAGCCCTGAGAAAACCTCTTTGCCCCAGCCTTCTTCTATGTATCAAGACCACACAGAAGATGAGAAGACACATGGTGGGAAGAGACCTATCCAGACGATGGGAGATAGAGAGGAAGGATGCTAAGCAAGCTGAAGCCAGGCTTAGCCTAGGACTGCTTAGGCTGGAGGAGAGCTGGCTTTATCGCATGAATATGGTGGCCAGGGAGCAGAGGCAGCTGCAGAAAGAACTGGAGAAGCTGAGACAGGGTAAGACCCATCTGCCCTGCACTATTCCTTCTAGTTTTGTGTCATCCAGAGACTTGATAATCATGTGATCGACTTCTTTATCTACATAGCTGATAAAAAAAAAAAAGCGAAGCAGGATAAGGCCAACCACAGAATTGTTGTGGCATATTACTAGAGACTTCCATTCATTAATTAATATTCTTTGAAGTGGAGTCTTTCATTCATTGCATGGCACGCCATACATTTCTTACCCATGTCAAAGGAAGCAAACCCGCCACAATTTAAGGGTGGCCCTCTGTCAGTGTCAGTCAATGAGAGTTTACAGTTTAGGAGACTGTGACTTCTTAAAATGGAATGTGCGTGCCCTCTAGTCCTCCAAAACAGAGAAAGAAAGGTCCTTTCTGTCTGACCTTAGCCTTCATTTTCATCCGGTCTGCCCTTTAGAGAAGTCACTGGCATTATAAAGGTCCCTCCTGAGCCTCCCTCAGGTGACTTCCTGAGTGAGCTTTTATTGTCTCAACTGCCAAATTGGCCCATTTCTTTTCTACTTTTTTTTTTTGAGGCAATGGGGTGAAGTGACTTGCCCAGGGTCACACAGCTTTTTTTTTTTTGGTGAGGCAATCAGGGTTAAGTGACTTGCCCAGGGTCACACAGCTAATAAGTACCAAGTGTCTGAGGTTGGATTTGAACTCAGGCACTCCTGACTCCAAGGCCAGAACTCAATCTACTGCGCTACCTAGCTGCCCCAGCCCATTTCTTTTCACCTTCATGACTCAATTTCACCCTCTCCTACCTGCCAATGCCTAGATTCAACCTGTCTTCCACTCTATTCCAATACCTAGTTCAAAATCTCTACCTAGATATTAGAAACCACATAGGCAAACATTTGGAGAATTGCCTTTTTTTCTCCCATGGTGTCCACATGTTCCATTCACACTGAGAGACAGCCCAAGGACTTTTCCTGGGAGTAAAAGATTTGAGATTTTATATATAGATATAGATTTGTTTGTGTGTGTGCACACATACAATATATATATATATATATATATATATATATATATTATATATATATATATATATATACACATACACACATATATACATACATGTATATACATATAATATACATGTGCATATGTATGTATACATATAATATACATACATGTACACACACATATATCACATATATACATACACCTTAGGCACTGGTCCTTGTATTCCTTGGACTGTTCTGTTTTGTTTCTCTTTTTATCCAAAGCAGGCAACTCCAAGAAAAAGTTCTCATCTTCTGGCAATGTTTTACTTGGGACTCAGAAGAAGCCAGAAATTCCTATCATTCCCCAACAGGGAGGTCAGAGGCACAGAACTGCTGAACCTCGTGGCATTAGGTAAGGAAATGCTTAGAGACCCAGTGTCTTAGGATATGATGGTATGCTATTCATTTGAATGGAACTCAAAACATTTATTTCTAACTGCGAAAAGGGAAACAAATGTGACAACAGACTTTGTTCTCAAGTAATTCACAAGGTGATAGGGCAAAGAACAATTTCAAAAATATATTGAGGAATTGTCCCTGTCCTAGAGTCACAGCAGCCTGCACTAGAAGCAGCCACATAGACCCACCAGTTTTACTCTTCTCTGCCTTTTGAAGATAACAATGTGAGTTGCTAAGAAGCAGCCTGAGGAAGCCCTACATGTACCAGATGCTAGACAGAGCCTTTCTCTTAAGGTTACCTTCCATATACCCTGCATGTAACTTGCACATATCTACTATATGTTATGTCCCCCAATTGGAATATAAGCTCCTTGGGAACAGAAGCCATTCTTGCATTTCTTTGTATTCACACCACTTGACATGGTCTAGCACATGGCAACTTCTGGATAAATGCTTGTTGATTTATTGATTGCGTAAACTGCTTAAGAGATGGCACCTAGCACCTTTCGCTTAAGGAGAGCTGCGGAGCAGAGAACAGCAGAAGAAGTAAGTTCTAATGACCTAAAGTAGCTTAAGGGGTGACCAGAAAACTGGCAAAAGACTGAAGGGTAGAGCATAGATGTGGAGGAAGGAATCCCAGCCTGGGGACCCACCCAGGACAGAACTAGGGTGCTTCATTCTAGTGAGCAGCAGAAGTGGAGTATATCCAGACTCTCTACATGTGTACTCAGGGGATGACCCATCCGATGACTCATTTTTCAAGAACAAATCTGGAGAATCACCATCTCCACAACTCAGGACCTCAGAAACCCTTCGAAAGAAGTTAAGTCATTGGTACGTCTGAATTCTGTGCTTTACCCATAGTGATGTTAAGACAAAAAAAAACTAGAAAGATCAGGATGTGTGTGGACTATGAAAACCTTAAGAGAATTAAGCTCAGTAGACCAAGCAGTAAGTTCAGGATCCCCGGGATTGCCCGCTGAGCAGACAATAGCTCTCCATGGTAGAACGTATGTATACATGGTAGACAGCCTTTACCATTTCTGGTGGGGTCTATCAATTTGAGTGCATAACAGAAAGTATTCCCAGGGCCCTAGCCACTTTTCAGTGGCTCATGGAGAAGGTGGCAGATGACATGAACTAACTCTAGAGGTGTTGGTTCATTTGGATGGCCTTGTCCTTTAGTAGTCTAGTAAAACATGCAGATAACTAAAGCTGAAGGTTGTTGGTGTAAACCTGTGCCAGTTTTTTTTTTCCAGCCTCTCTCAAATGTGTAGGTCATTCAAATTGCTGTGATTACAAAGAAGTCACATAATCACAGAATACGAGAGTTGGAACATACCTTAGGGGCTAGTCTAACCTATTCATGAAAGGAACCTCCACTGGAACACATCTGTTCATGGGACATCTAGGACTACGAGAAATGTAACAGGGGAGACATCACGTGTAGCTAGAGGCCAGGGAATGCTCCATGGAAGAAGTGTCCCCTGAGAGGAGTCCTGAAGGAATTGAACAATGAAGATGGGGGATGGGAGGTCCATCAGAGGAGAGGGTGAGGATGTGAAGAAAGACAGAACCAGGAGAGGGCAGGCCCTCGTAGTATAGCCTCTTTATTTCCTAGAAAATCTCCTTGAATCTATTTTTCTCTCTTGAGGGAACAAAGAGCCTCATTCAACAAGTACTCACTCCTCTCAAGCAGGCACAAAGATCCCTCATTCCCTCCCCAGCCCACCACCACGACATTCTTGCCTCATCTGATCTCATGGAGAAGGCTTCCATGGTTCAGAAAAAACCTGCAAAATACAGATTAAAAACAACTTCCCCCTCAAGGTTCGTATGGCACTTTGCCTGGAATTCCCTTTTGTACCCACCTCACTCTCTCCAGTATCCTGGTTATTTGTTCATTTGTCCTGACTCTTGTGGACGGCAACTTCCTTTGGCCCATCACTGACTTGAGTTGGAAGAAATCTTAAGAGGTAATCTAGTCATTCCCTCTCATTCTACAGATGAGGCAGCTAAAGCCCAGAGTGATAGGATGATTTGCTAAAAGTCACATAAGTGTTAAGAGGAAGACTTGGGGTTTGAATCCAAATTTGGTGTTTTCCATTGTATTATTTCTCCTCATGTTTTTCTATCTCCAACGTCTACCAGGGGGCCTTGCCCAAAGTAGGTGCTAAACATTTGCTGAATTGCCACAGAATTGTAGAATTGAAGCATGAGCCCCTATGGGGGTACTTAAAGGTCTTTTCTCCCTTTCCCAGAATAGAAACTCATCTGCTCCAAACTAAGGAATATGAAACCTCCAAACCTACTGAGATACCAAGTTCATATCCCATAGACTTCATAAAGAACAAAGAAGAGGCATTTTCTCAAAGCCCCATGGCCTCCCTTGGAGGTGGACCTAAAGCCCTAAAGAGAAACTCAGTCACAGTCATTAACCCATCAGAGGACAGAAATTCCAGTATCTCTGCTGACCTCCAGAAGCCTGGAGCCTTCAGCAAAGCAGAACAAGCCCCTGGTGCTCCCCCAGGTGAAAGCGAGGTGATAGAAATCATGGAGGCCAGCCCTAGTGGGGGTGTTGGCCCAAATCCTGGCAGTCATATTGGAAAACAGAATCCAGGTAGAGAGATGCCAACCTTTGATCCCAAGGCCTATACTCTTTACAGTTACCTTAGGACAGTGGACACAATGCCAACCTACCTGGAACTCTTTGCAAAGGTCAAGAATGCCCGCTACCTCCGGCACAGAGTACCGCCTGAATTTGAGAGGGAGCTCAGCACTGGGGAAATATTTGGAAATGAAGCATGCTTACAGCCCAGCGAAGGAAGTGAGTCTGATGACAGCCTAAGCATTTGAGGGGCCTCTCTGGTCTCGCCTTGGTCTTGCTGGCCAATGGCATGAGTTAGGATCTCTGGCCAGATGTACCCTTAAAACATCTTCAGCAGGAAGGAGAAAAACCAAAAACAAGGGGATGACACAATCCAATTTAGAAATCCCATACATTCATTTCTTCTGCTGCACTACACTAAGAGAATCAACTAGGAAGACTAAACTTATCAACTACATAAAAAAGAAGCCTTCTGAAAAACTATAATACTACATAAATGCTAAATAATGCTCACAATAAGAACCTACATTGCGATCCGTGCCTGAAAAGAAACATTTTGATTAGGCATCCACCATACCGGTCTTGAGGACCTTCCAGTGCTGCCATCTACTGGCAAAGTGACAGAACATGCTCTCCTTAACTTGCAGCCGTAACATCACAATAAGCAGTCACTTCTACAGTGCTGTGATATTTGCAAAGCGTCTTGCATGTATGATCTCACTGGAATCTCACAATAATGAAGATATGAATAATACCCCTATTTTACAAATGAGGAAATTGAGGGTCAGGGATATTTAAGTGGCTTGTCTACTGTTATACACAAGTAAGATTTGAAGTTAGGTCTATAACAATGTTGAATTCAGCATTCTTTCCACTAGGCCTGATGGTGAGAGTAGAGCAGGAAGTCATTACAGGTAGAAAAGACCTTGGAAAGTATCTAGTCTGTTCTCTCTGGGCAACTGAGGAAAGAGATTCACAAAAGCAAGGGCCCAAAATCCTACTGTTGTTATTCAGTTGTTTCAGTCATGTCAGACCCCCCCCCCCATGACCCCATTTGGGATTGTCTTGGCAGAGATACTAGAGTGGTTTACCATTTCCTTCTCCAGTTCATTTCACAGATGAGGCAAATGGGGTAAAATAACTTTCCCAGGGTCACACAGCTAGCGTCTGAGGCCACATCTGAACTCTGGTCTTTCAGACTCCAGGCCTGGCACTGTACTGGCCCTGTCCTATTGAAAACAAATAATCTGCTCCTCTCTTCATTCCATGACCTCTGCTAAAGACCTTTGCTTGCTGCCTTTATTTCTAAGCTGCTCAGGTTTAGTTTCCCTGTCACCCCTTAATCTAATGACAAAAATCTTTTCAGTCCTAGGAAGAAAGCAGAGCATAGTTTGGCATCGTCCAATTCATTGGCAGCTAAGCTTTGGGAGTGTTTCTGTCCTGCTCCCTACATGGCACGTAGCCAACACTTTAGGCAGAGAAACAAATTCAAAGAAGGCAGCTTCAGACAAAGCTGATTATTAAGGTGACTTATTTTTTTAAATGCTTTTTTCAATTCCAGCTAACCCAACTCTATACTACAAATTGTCCTAATTAAAAAGAAAATAGTCACCCCATAACACATAACTGTATTTAGGTCAACACTGAGGTTTGTATTTTTCCATGCTAGCAAGGAGGGAGGGTTGCTTTGGACTTTGGTTTTTTTCCATACCCAAGGGGCTGTAAATTTCCACAGGATTAAGTGAAAAGGTTTCAAGACCCTTGTCTTGTGTTCATAAAGTTGTTATAAAGCCCGTAAATCTTAAGCATCAAGAAGAGCGACCAAAATTCTGGACTTACGTCCATAAGTCTCAGCCTGTAACACTAAGTGACAGTGGTGGTTACTTCCAAATGTAGTTGCGTACATGGTATATGTAAAAGAAAGAAGGTGCTAGAAGTCAGGGTTGTTTTATGTCTCCCTCTGAGACACACAGACTGTCTTAGGCACACTGGACCTTGACAGGGAGGGAAGGCAAAAATTCACCATTAAATCCCTCCCTAGCCTGACTCCTCCCTTTGAAGTTTAATGAGGAAAAATGTAAAGTACCAAATTTAGGTTCTCAAAAGCCAATAGCAAAAGAACAGACTGGGGAAAGCCAGGCTAGCTTACGTGAAAACTGAATTCAGCTGATATACTAACACAACTCTATAGAACCTTACTATTTATAAGCCTGTGAGACAATTAACACAAAGTTTTTATATCTCCATTTTACTAAAATGAGGAAACTGAGTCTCAGAAGTAAAGATAATTGTTGGAGGCAATACAACTAGCTTCAGAGCCCAAACCCAAAGCAAGTTCTTCTGACTCTGAATCTAAGATTCTTCCCTTCTATGCAATGTTGCCTCTCAGATTATTTAAAAAAAAAAGTCAACTATTTCAAACACCATAAAAAGCACAAGGATTAGGTCATACATGTCTTCAGTCTCCTTAGTGCTAAGTAGAATAAAACAAATTATGAACCTATATCAAATGTTGCTTTTCTCTAATGCAGGGTTGGGAGGAAGGAAGGGAGACAACTTGGAACTGGAAATGTAACCAAAAAGAATAAATAAGTTGTTAGGGTTTTTTTTGGAGATTACAGAAGTTCAGAACACCATCATTCCCCATCCCCGAAATAAGTTGTCCTTGAACTGCAATTTATATCTACCAATGGCCTTTGCTTTGCAGTAACTTGGACCACAATGTTCTGACCTGTTAACTTCATGTGAAAACTTTATTTTAACATCCCCAAAAAGCACAGTGTTTCTAGAACAGCTCATACCCAAACAAGTTAGTTTTATCTGGAACACGTCAACACACTGGAGCCTCATGACAAAGAGGGGGAGAAGTTAACTCCTTTTTCACTGGATGGGAAGCAGACTCATGATAAGTGAAGTGATTTTCTCAGGAAGACATCAATGCCGGCAGAATCCAGAATTGTAGCTTGATTTTAGGTTTTACAGGGTAACACCCTCTCCTTATTTGAGAGGGATGGAGCCATACTTGCTTGTACAGGACTCTATCCCCTGCCACCAGGAAGCCTGGGGCTGGAGGACTGCTTGAGTTGAGGGTCTCTGGACCACAGAAGGACTTAAAGCTAGTCAGGTGCCTGAACCAAGTCCAGCACCAATACACCGGGCCCTCAGGAGCTGCCCAAGGAAGTGTGGACTGGTCCAGGATGGATAAGCAGAACACATTAAAACTTCCACACCTATCAGCACTGGAACTGGGCTCCTGAGTGGCCATGATGCTTCTAGTCTAGGCAAGACAAGGAGACCAGTCTCCCTACTCCCCACAAAAAAGATGAGTGAACACATGTCCAGTGAGGCTTGCTTTGGTCCTAATTTTCAGTTATGGAATAATTTACACTACAAATGATGGTTACTTATTTATGTAAATCAAAAAACACCCTCTCCCTTCTAAGAGATGAGATGTCACCCATAGTTTAAATAGGTTATGAGGGAGAAATAAGGCACAGAGCAATATTAAAGAGGCCAGCTCTCAAGGCTACGTTTGGAAGTAGTGACAGAAATGACAAATGAGTTGTTTCTAACTGGATGTTTAAGAAATGAGATTTCCCCCCTCTTTTCTCTTATAGGATATCAATGTACGCATGCGAGCACATACATACATACATACACACATACACACACACACATATTAGGAGAGGGAGACAAGACTCTCCTGGTTGTTCTGCAAATGCACATCACCTAACAGAACAGAAGTAGAAGCCCTTAAAAGCACGTTGATGCTCAAAAAGCCCAAAAGGCATTTGATGGTTCTAAGAAATTCATTTTTGACTCGGGCTGTCCAGTGACCTGGCTCTGATGGCCCCAAAGCGCCTTTCCAGGTCCAGCAAGTTCTGGTAAAATTTTTCAGCAGTCTCTTCATCCAGATCCATCTGCAAGAGAAGCAGAAATAGGGATACCAAAGGTCCCACTGGGGAAGGGAAAAATGAAGGAAAGCATCCAGCAGAACTGCAAGCAGCAGAAGGTAAAGAGGCTTGCCAGAGAGCATTGCTACGACAGTGATACGGGGCAAAATAGAGGGCTTCTTTACCAGAGGGGTCCCATTCAGAAAAAGTCACCACAATCTGAAGGTGACACAGAATTCATCCTGCCAAGATACGAGAAAAGTGCCAAACTCGGGGAAAAGCTCAGGACCATAAATCTGGGTCCAATACAAATGTATTTGTTTCTTTGATGTTTATCAGGGGAAAAAAATGTCTTCCTTCCAACTTTGTATTCATCCAGCTTGAGGAATTATAACGTATGATATTTGCAGTCAGTGAAGTCAGGCAAAGAAGGCTGAACAATAGTTTGTCTTGAAAATGACAGAGACTAGGGGAAGATGGGTAGGTAGGAACAATGATCTTGAAAAGGGAAGAAAAGAATGAAAAGAACAACGAAGCACTGGAAATACACAGAAGAGAAAAAAAGGAAGTTCGAGAAGAGTCAAAGATCAGCAGGGCAACGATTGTAAAACAGTGCTAAATTCTGATATGCACACATACATACATAATACATAATGTATGTATGCATGCCTATGTAAATATCTATACATGCTAAATTTATGGTTTCATGTACAAGCCTCTTATTCTCTTCATTACATGTGGAAAATTTATGTTTGCTGTTTGTCATGTTTATAATACAAGAAAAAAAATGCAAATACATTTTTAAAAAAGAAAGGAAGATCATGCCAGGGCACAGCGCTCCCCAACTCTCTAACAGGTACTTTTTTCAGCTAATGAGCCTGTCACCAGTTCCTGTCACCAAGCTGTCTTTAATGGAGCTTACCTTCTGAGGGCTTACGTAATTGCTTCCAAGTCCCGTGGTAGCACTGTGATATTTGGTCAAGGGATTCAGAAACTCAGGCTTTTGTCGGAAAAGCCATAACTAGAAAGGAGGAGGAAAGAGTGTATGAGTCATACCTGTCTTAAGGTAAATCTTGACATCAAGTACTTTAAATAGCTTTGAACAAGTTTTAAAAGCCCATCAATCATCATTTGGCAAAATCTTTCAGCTCTAAGATCCTATAATTGCTCAACAGCTACATGGGGTTGTTGAGCAATTCAATCCACGGGGAGGAAGAAAGACGACCAAGTGACCAACCAGTCTTCTCTGTAAATTATTTTAAGTTAAATAAGATAGGGCTGGCCTTCAAGGTCTACTTTAAGTACCAGGAAAGAAATCTAGTTCCTTCCTTAAAAACACACAGTTTATACCATTAAACGGTATAGCTCATTGATCAAATGGTATTTAAAATGAACTATTATTAACTCTTGGATTTAAAGACCTATTTCTAAATAGACACTCCAAACATACATACATACATACATACATATTTTTATATACATATATATGTGTGTGTACACGTGTATGTGTATATACATACACATATGTGTATACATATATGTTTTAAACATACTGTAAGTGTTTTTCATATTATCTAGTGAAAAATGATTATTAGTAACATCTTCCTGCTGGAGCTTGAAAATTGGAGAGCTAAACCAAATTTCCAGGCCTATGTCCAACCATTCAATCAAACTGCCCAAAGCACTAACGAGGCCCTCAAACCATGGCATGGCAAGGTGAAAATGTTATCTTCGCCAACACATACTTGTAGCCTTCTCTCCAGCGTAAAAGAACTCTCCAATGAGATAATAGCACTCTTCAAATCTCTAGATACTACATACATGTGAGCTGTTAATTATTTTACCCATAAATCAGAACTAGTTCCAGTAAAGTTAAAACACAATTAAATTAGAAGAGGCAAGGGTAGACAATATTGCCTTGCACCTGAGAAGGTGATTTCACACCCCCACCTTTCCAAATCTGTAAACGCTTTAAGGCCCAAACCAAGTCCCACCCACTCTGAAGCCCCTCTCAACTAACCCAGCCCACTCTAATATGTCCCTTCTGTAAAGTATGGCATTTACTGTCTATACCATATCTGCATAACTTGGCAGTAGGTAGGGGCCAAACTTAAAATAGGCTAAACTTCTTTGGGCCACAGATAGGTTTTTAGAGGCTCACTTTCCAAGTAAAGGTAACTGGAGACAGACTGACAGTGAGTGGTTGGTTGTCACGGGTCATGTGACAAACAAGACAGTAAGTAGTGGCAACCCACTCACCAAGTTACGTGATGGGCACAACAGTGACTAGTGGAAGGCTGGTTAAGCAGGGTATGGACAAACACTCGTTACATCTTTACTTTTTTTTATATCCTCTACATTTTTTGCAGGTCAGCCAAAATTCTTTGGCAGGCCTCAAAAAGCCCACAGGCCAATTGTTATACAGGCCTGGTCTATACCACATAATTGAATACTTGGTTATATAACATTTTATACTGTTTTCTGTGCCTGTATTTTAGAGTTGTCTTTCCTATCTTTCTTTTGTATTCCCATTACACCCAGCACTAGGCTGCACCCACTGTAGAACTTCAAAAACACTTGTCTTGATCAGTCCTGAAAAAGGAAGGCCCTAAATGGTTCTGTAACTGTAGACATGGAGACTGGGAGAAGGCTGCCAACATCATCCAGTTGGTTGCTGAGATGAAGGAATTTCCTCTCTTTGTCTCCAAAAAGTTGTCATGCTGGCTGTGCTTGGAGATCTCTATACAGTGAAGGGAACAGAGTTTCACAAGGCAGTCCATGCCACTTCTACTCTTCTCTAATTGTAGGGCAGGGCTGCTTCACATTAAACCTTTAGGGGTGCCTCTGGGCTACCCCCGTCAGTTGCCCTTAGCTAGGGCTAAGCAGAACAGGTGTCACCCTCTTCCCAAAGACATCCCTTCCAATTCTTAAAGACAGCGGGCATAGCAACCTCAGCCTTCTCTGGCTTCCTTTTTTACAGAGAGGGTGAAACAAAAACCACTTTAGGGGTTAAAGCCTCCACAATTAACTTGTCCTCTACCATTAATCATATTGATTCCAAAAACATTTCCCAAGATGAAGGTATAAAGGCCACTTTTCTTTCACCCCAGATTCGAGACACTCTAAAGATGCTGTATCTCTCAGTAATATATGTCATCAATAATCATTAAATCTCAAATTCTTATCTCTTAGGCCATTTCCCATCAAGGCCCCAGGGACATACCAAGGCTTCTGCTCCATTGTAAGGTGTGGTTGTTAAAGAATTTACAAAAAAGCGCAGCTGAAGAAAGAAATAAAAATGCCATTTGTTAACATGTAAAGATTACCAGGAACATGAAAAACATTAGTTGTTCAACTTCTAGCATATAAATCCTTGAAAGAAGCATATCCTTCCCAGAATTTCTTATGTCACCAATACATAAGATTTTAATAAAGCTCAGGTCTCTTCACAACTGAATGTTTATCCATTCCTCAGAGATGATAGCCATGTTGGGAATTACAACATGGCCTTGCTAGAGACTCAAAAGGGCACTTACTGTCTACCAGAGATTAAAGCAACCATTGATCCCATACTCTGGCGTTCTCAGGTCCTGTCTCCCCAGGCTAAGTTCAGTTCTTTCCAAAGAGCAGACTTAACGGGTTATTCTTCAGTTGGAGTTGCTAAATAATCTCTGTGCTCACATGCTATAGTCTCCACCATAGAAATATGATTAGCACACCTTACTACTCCCCAAACTATCAATTATTTATGAAAGGCCTACTGAAGAGATCTAGTTGGCTTGGAAATGAACACCCAAGCCATTCCTTATCTTGCATGTAAGAATTAGCTAAGAACTCATAATTATCCAACGTGGGGATGGCAAGGGATAGAAAGCCCCAAACTCCTGCAGTTATTATAACATAAGAAGCCAAACAGAGTAGCACAAACCTCTATCCATGGAAAAAGAAAAGAAAAAAAGGCCCTTCAGGGTTGGGTCATATCATCCAATAATCTCAATCAACCTTCTCATTTTACAAATTGGGAAATGGAGTCCACAGTGAGAGGTAAGTTGCCTAAGGTCACTCTGCCAATAAATGGCAAAGCCAGGGATAGAACAAAGCTTTCCAAATTTAAGGTTCTCACAAACTAGAAAAAAAAAAGTCTACTCTGAAGGAAAATATCTAGAACTCTTTCATTTGCTTCAGAAATGCACAAATTAGGCTCTAGAATTCTAACCCGTGGCTTCAGGACATCAAAATCACTCATATTTAGGAGACAAAAAGTTTCTCCAGAGACATGAATAAGTCTGTAGATACAGACAACTAAATTAAAGGCCACTGAGAGAAACATACCAGAATAGCTGATTTATGTTAACTGTTAGAAATCAGGGAAATTAGGAGAATTGTAAGGTAGCCATTCTTCTAAAAAAGATGGCTCCTGTTAAGGTAGGATACTAGCTTACTGACAAGTAAATACTCAGATGAAATTGGGTTGGGAAGCTGGGTAGGGTGGTGCACAAGTCACCTATTAAACAGGCTTTAAATTTTCCTAAAACCACAGGATACACTAATATTCTAGCGAGCAAATCATTTCCCTGAGCTGAAATTTATCTGCTATGATCTCAAGGTGACTATATTTGGAAAAGTAATGAAGAAAGAACATATCACTCACCAAAAATATTAATGGGGTCAGTAGTGTCCAGATGAAAGGTGGCAGAATTCCGTAAGTCAGATTGGTCAGCACAGTGCCTGGGCACACTACACTGGAGTACAGGCCCTGGTAACATGGAGAGATGGGAATGAGGGAAATGGGAGAGGCAGATGGTACAGATTCAGAAAGAACAGCCTTTCTACAGTTACTAAGTTTCTGGAGTCTTATGAATAGTCAAGGGTGGGGAACCTGCAGCCTCGAGGCCACATGTGGCCTGAATAAACCTTCAACACTGCAGGATCTATAATTTGATCGGCATGGTACTCTTCCTCCACTGATGCAGATTACAATTCTTCTTTCTATTCACATAAGATGCTGTCTTCAAGATTTATCATGGTCAAAAAAATTCAGACTGAGGCCAACCTGGAACAGGTTCCCTGCAACCTTAGGTAGACTAGGCCTTGACCAACAGCCAGTCCATCACTTGGCAGGAATTTGAAGCCTTCCCAGATTAGAAGGATCTGCCATGGCTCACATGGTGGTCAAAAGAAGCAGTACAAAGACATGCTCAAGGTCTAAGGAACTTTAATACTGATTGTGAGACAGGAAGACGCCGGCACAGGACCATGCAACATGGCACGCCCACATCAAAGAAGGTGCTGTGTTCCAAGAACAAAGCAGAACCACAGTAGTACCAAGGAAACGTGAGATGTGCAAATCTAGAAACACCTCCATTCCAGTTCAAACGGACTATCTGTGCCCCACCTGAAGTAGTACAAGCTTCCCAGCTTGTACTGAACTGATCAACCACAATGGAGCATACATACCTTGACCCCAACATCTGGAGGTCTTTACTCTTCTTGGAATACTAAGGACAGACAATATTACTTGCAAGAAACAGGCGTGACTCCTACTTACCACCATGAGGCGTCTGTGTTAAGCTTTCAAGCACTGTGCCACTAGCTCCAGGCCACCTCTCCAGAATAACCACCCAGTAATCCACCTCGCGTTCTCTATATTCCAATCAAAGGCCCCCTTCCTGCTCCCCGAGCATCATGCCCCATCTCTGTCTTCCTCCAGACTGCCCCCACGCCTGAAAAGCACACCTTCTTCCCCAGTTCCTCTGGGAGCCCTTCTATGAGCTTCTTCTACCTCCTACAAGCTGCATATCCTGACTTCCTTAACTGTTAAGTGTTCCCCACCACCCCACAATTATTTTGTAGATATTCTGTATTTAACATGTATGTTTCTACCCAGCGAAGTATAAGCTATTTGGGGACAGGAACAATCATTTTTTTTTATATCCCTCAGCACCTGAAACTTTTTTTTTGGTCCCCACCTTCTATGACTTCACTGGTATCAGGAATTCCCCGTGAGAGAACTCTGTTCATCTACGTAGGTCACCTGATAGTGTTAGAAAACTGCCAGGGAAAATGAAAGATTAAATAACTTGCCCAGGATCACACAGAGGCAAGATCTAAAACCAGGTCTTCCTGATTCCTATGCCAATTCATCTGTTATACTATGCTGCCTCTCCCGTCTGGCATGCTGTAGGTGATAAAGCAATGCTTGCTGAATTTAAATTCAAAAACTTTCTCATCCTTTATCTTATTTGATCCTTACCTGGTGAGTTAGGCAAGTCAGACAGTGCTATTTCCACTTTAGAAATGGAAAAACAGAGAAATTAAGTGACTTGTCCAGGATTCTAGCACTGGCCGGTAAAAGCACTAGGACTAGAGCCTGGGTCTTTGGCTCCCAGAAGGAGGTACACCCAGTCCAGGGTGAATTCTGCTGTTAGGGGCTTGTATTTAGCAAGCACAGTACCTGGCACATGGCAAGCACTTAATGAAATCTTGTTTCCTTCCTTCCTTGTATTTCCCTGTCGAGATTAGGATCAAAGAGTTCTTCAAACTCACAGCTGCTACCATCTTTTCAACAGTTAAGTCCACTAACAAGGACAACCTTCCCAAATCTTCAGACCTGTGGCTGTCTCAGTGGTGTGATTTTGGAGTGAATTTAGCAATCACCATTAACTGAAAGAGCCAAACAACTATTGGATACACTATACAATCTAGTAGGACACGACATTTCAATATAGAAATTTAAGATGGCAACTTCAGAACCACAGTGTGAACATCACTATTTTAACCATTTTGTTTTTCTGTTGTTTCTTGTCATTATAGCATTCAAGTCAGAGCAATAGTAAAAAATGCCCTGGAATCTTTCTGGTCATTATATAGGCTAGGTGCATTGTCAGGAATAAAAAAATTCATATTCACATAGTTTTTTAGGGTGTCCAAAGCACATTCTTTACAATCTCATGCGAAAGGCAATGTAATCTATCCTCCTACATTTCTGTGACATTTGCAAAAATGTTCGACACCAAGTATCACCTTTGATTTCCCAATAAACCCTGTGATGGAGGTGCTACCAGTACTATAATCCCCATTTTACATATGAGGAAACCAAATCTCAGACAGTATAATGACTTGTCCATGGCCACACAACTAACCACTATCTGAGCCAGGATTTGAACCTACTCTCTTCACTCCAAATCTCCCAAACTCTTAAGCACCTCCTCACCTGTTGGTTAAAATTCCTGTTCAAAGCCAGACTCAGAAGGTCAGTGGCATATTTAGAAGAGCTGTAGGGTTCGTGGCCTTTGGCATGCTGGAAATCGTCTAGGCTGAAATTAGATTTCTTGGCATTGCTAGAAGATGTCCAGATGACCTGAGATGGAATGTCAGGATGACAAAGCAGAGGCTCCAGCTCCCGAATCTGAGATAAAAATAAAAATCTTCTTTTAGGGCTACTGGGTAAGTCTACAGGAGCTCTCAATGTTTGCCAAAAATACATGAGTCAAAGGAACCAAAACTAAATCCATAAGCACCACAGTTAATGTCACTATAATATCATTCCTCCAGCTAGCAACTTGTCTGGAAGGTTGGCTTCCATATCCGTGATTTTAACATGAAGGATAAAAGGTTCTCCAAAACCAAATTCTGACAACAAAACGTAAACAACCTCAATAGGGAAGACAGCAGGAGACTGGGGAGAATACTTAGAGTGAGATGTGAGTGCACAAGGAACCCTTTGATGAACTAAGAGTAAAAAGACTTACACATAAGATGGAGCAGATACAACGCCATGCAACCAAGGATGAGCGGAATGGGATGGCAAAGATGTGTAAGAATGTCAAGAAAACTAAAGCACAAAGGAAAAGTTTTATGCACATTTCAGCTAAAAACAACAACAAAAGATTTCCCAAACTATATTCAAAAAAGAAGGAAAAAGAGAAGTCCATTGTTTGGCAGCAACAATACAATATTTAAAACCTGTGCTGCTTCTATTAAGGAGAATTATTTTCAAACTTGAATGGAGAAAAGAAAAATCAGAGAGAGTTAAGTTCAATTTATGTGAGGAATGTCTTGCCAATCTGAGTTCATGTGGCCCCAACAAAGAACCTGTAGCTACGGTCAATGGTCTTTGGAGAATCACGGAGAAAGGAAAGGTACTGGAGGGCTGGAGTCAGGCAAATAACATCCCTATTTTCAAAAAGGAAAAGGCAGATTGCCTGTTAAATAGACAACCTGATAACCATTACTCACAAAATCCTAAAAGGGATCATCACGTAGATGGTTTGTAAGCACTTAGAAAAGGAAAAAGTAATCACAATGAATCAGCATCGGAATATCAGGAACATATCATGCCAAACGATTCATTTCCTTCGGATAGTTACTAGGGTAGCAGGCCAGCAGAATGCTTTATACACAGTAAAATGCCTTGCTGAAATCTGGATTGACTAGCCTTTCCTACCCGTGTAGTTTGGATGATAGGAGCTAACGAGGTTAAATGATTGACCCAAAATATTACTAATTAATAGGTCACTAGAAGGACCCTGGTGGCTTGCCATGGACCCTGCCAGTTTGGTTCTGCAAACTGTCTTAGATGTGTTAGATTGCGTTGTCATCTGTCTTACATGAAGACAATACAAAGGATTTGATCATTAAGTCCACAGAGGGCTCAAAACTGAGTGGGACAGCTGATACATTGGGTGATACAAATTCAATCCAACAGGTTAGACCCAAATCTAATAAGAAGAAACAATGTCTTACACTGAAGATGTCGCTGCATGCGTAAAAAATAGAGACAAGTCAGTTAAACAGCAACAGAATGGGATGGCTGCCAAAAATGTCAGTGTAATTTTTGTTTTTGAAGTATGGACCTGTAGTTTCAACAGAGTAGGTAAGCTCCCAAGTAAAAAACTCCCTTCACCAATACAGATCAGTACCTAATCTGCAACTTAGTCTTAGAGAGTTGTCTAGGACATCGAAAGGTTAAATGACTCACCCAGGGTCCCATAGCCAGTATGTGTCAGAGGTCAGATCTGACCTAAGTCTACCTGGCTCTGAGGCTAACCTTCTACCCACTATGCCATGCTATCTTTAACGTAATCTTGGGCTAAAACGATAAGCATTCACAACAATGGAGGAGACAGTTCCAATGTACCCTGCATTCACCATACCAGCTCTGGAATATTATATTTTGTTCTGGGCACCATATTTTAGGAGGACCATTGAGAAAACGGAGAGTACCTACATGAGCACCACCACAAAAAAGGAATCATGTTATAGATGTCGATAGTTTGAAGAGCAGGGCTATACCTAACCTTTAAGACAGAAGATTTAGGAGAACTTAGTGCCTTACAAACAGATGCCACTTAATAAAAATGCATTAAATTTCATTGCAATCTGCCTGTATTTGAGGGGCCAACATACAAAAGAGAGATTAGACTTATGCATGGATGTGGAAGCAAGGAAAAACAAGAACCAAAGAAAAGTTACAGAGGCACATTTCACCTCAGCATAAGGAAGAATTATAATTAGAGTGATCCAGAAGTGGAATGGACTAGCTCTTAACATAGAGTTCTCTATCATTAGAAGTAGACAGCAGCTAAGTAAGACTTGTAGAGATGTTGTACAGGAAATTCTTACTACACAGGGAGTTTGGTAAAATGATCTCTAAATTGAAAAATTGTTTCTGCTGCTAAGATTTATAGTTCTATGATTCTTTACACCCAGACCTACAAGATCCAGCTTTTGTTTCCTACAGCATTTTATAGCAACACAAATGAGATCTGCAAATCCAAATCAAAGGGGATCAGGAAGCTAGGTGGAAGACAAGTAAGCATGAGTGGCCTTTGTATGAAGAAAATAAGAAGTCTTTGGTGGGAAGGGAAAAGAGGAATCTCCCACCAAAATGCCACACAAATAGGAGATGTGAATGCTTAAATGCTTCAAACAAGAAGCATTCATGATCAAAGAAAAGTCAGGAAACATAAGAAGAAAACAATCTATCTCCCAGGTATATTATGACCAATTAAAGAAGAGGGGGAAAGAAAAAGGCAAAATGTAAAGAGGAATAACATAGATTCTAAGGAGTAAAAAGGAAATAAGTAGACTTCTTATAAATGATGACTTCATACTTCTGTGATTAAGTTGTATCCATTCCTTATAGCACTTAACTATCAGCTGTCCATAAGAAATAGCGAGTGAGATAATTATCCCTGGCCTTTAACTAGGGGGATCGCTAGCTGGGACATGGATAAGATCACTATAACTGTCTCAAGAGGCTAGCAGGTTGAGGAGAGGGCAATGGTACCTGATAGTCAGTGCTGGAAAAAAAAGAGAGTAAAGTGAAGCACTTATATACATACAATTGGCATGTATATACATACAATACATCCTTTAAGCTGCATGTTTTCCTTACTTAACATCTCTTTTCCCTTTCAAGTTCCCCTTCACGTTCATCAGCCTGATTTGCCTCATTGGCACCCCTTTAGGGATGGCTTCCAGCACAGTGTAGTCCTCTGTAGGACCTCATTTCTTTTCCAAAGCAATCAAATGAAAGCTGATATGTGAAATGAGACTCGAGAGTTGTTGGGTGAAGGAAATGAGAAGACTGATCAAGTGTTAGACTTGGGCAATAGAAACAACCAGAGAAATACTAGACCTTATCTTGTACCTGACAGTGTCTGGGGGGACAATGAGGTATCACCATAAGTTCCAAAGAGACTGGATTAACGCCAGATATGTTTACAGGACCAGTGAAAAGACAGAGCAATGGAAATAGGGAGAAAGTCCTTGGCCTGGAGAGGGTTAGGAAATTCTGAATCAGGAAGTAGGTGTAAGTATCTGTTTGACTGAACAATCTACCTGATATGAAGTGGCATCCCTCAGGACAAGTGGGGTACAAGAATGGACATGCCTGATCCTAAGAAAATAAGATAAACCCAGGTGGAGAGATAAGGGGGGGAATGCCAGAAACAGTTCATGTGAGTTTTGTGTATTAAGCTTTCATTTTGCCATATTTCTGTAAAGGGGGAAGATATAGGATTAATTTAGGTACAGGAGAATTTTCTCCTATTTACTTGTACTAGTAGGACAGAAGCAGTAACATGGATGATAAAAACGGCAGAGATATCAAAATTCTATTCAACCGGAGAATCCATTATCCCAATAACTGTTGGTGGCAGATTTACACCCTGAAATCTGCAAAGACAGCAACATCCTGTTTCATGAGAACACGCTCCCTAAGTGGCAAGGGGTAGGGGATCAAGAGTGTTTTGGACATAAGGAAATCTGAATTTAACTTGGTTTATAAAAAAATTGACCAAGCAGATGGAAAACATCTGGGGACAACTGAGAATTGACTGGTTTTGGGTTTTTATGTCAAAGTTTTTAAAGCTAGAGCCTGTAAACTTTTATATGTATATACAAAAACATACATATACATACACACACACACACACACACACACACACACACACACACACAGAGTTTGACAACTGCATTTCAATACAACTGGTTTCCTTTGTAACGTTTTATTTTATACATTTAAAACTCCGCAAACTTCACCAGCTTCTCAAGGGGATCCCCTTAACAGAAAAAAAAAAGTTAAGAACCCCTATTTTATGTAATATAAGCACGTGATCATGCTTAGAAACAGATAAGGAGAAGCAATTTTCCAGTGTTCAGGATAATAACCTATTTTAAATACAACCTAACAGAAGTAATGTTAGCAATAATTTACATTTAAAAGAACAGCAACAGAAAGCATTCCTTTCCTCTTTCTACAAATAGGTCACTCTAACCATCTAATTCCAAATCAGATACAAATAAGCACGGACTTCCTCCTGAACCCTATCAGGGTATCACAGAAGCTTTAGAGCCATATCTGCTTTAGGTACCTCAAAATACACAGACCTATACTTTAAATTCCTCTTTGGGGCCCATGCCACTAAGTCATGTCATAAAAGGACCTTTTGGTAACACCTAAAGATGGAGTCAAAGACAGGCTTGTCTAAAAGGAATGATGTATGGTGGTAAATTACAAAGTACTTTGGGTTCCATGATAGAAAAGAGCAGAGAAAGTAAATCAAGTAAGTCATGCCAACACTCCTAAGCAATCTCAGATTGCAACCTCCTGTTATACAAGGAGACAACAATGGAGGCAGAGGCCCAGGAAATGTGACGGGGAAAAACAGTCACAGCTATTTGAATCAAGCCTTTCCTAAAATAAACTATTTAACAATCAGCTTCTGTTCATTTTCACCTACAGGACTGAAACAGTACCAATGTTGTGAAGTGGTCTTAAACGCCCATTACTAGCTAAGTAATAGCTCAATAGTCTGTCTTTACCAGAATAAAGTGGCCAAAAACATTGGTTTCAAACACCTCCTGCAGTCCATCTGTAGTGACCCTGTCATCCTGGGTCAACAGGCCTTCAGCTGTGGAGAACATATGAAATACTTTTCTGAAAGAGAACAAAACAATACAGTAAAACCAAAATGATTTAACCTGATCTCTTGATTCCAAATCAAATTCACTAAATCTGCCCATGGGTATTCAAATCACATAGTTCAAACAGCAATGGTCTAGTTCTCTCACAATTTACCCAAGGGCCTTGACAGGTAATGACTCAAGAAAAAGGCCTTAAAAGAAGGCCCACTATCTCCAATGATCCTTTGTGTTCCCAAGGGCTGGGAAATGAGTATAACTTGTGTGTAGTATGTGATTTTTTAAATGATTTCTTTCAGATAGACATAGCCACTCCTTCCAGCTGGGGTACCCACCCTAAAAGCATCAGGAAGATTTCATAGATCCTTGAGAATACCTCACCCAAGATGTGATTGGCAGTATTCAATTTCCCTTTCATAAAAGTGGCAATATCATCTCTCACCATGATCTCTCTATTCAATTATCCCTACTTTTCTCTGATATTCCCAAACCAATTTGATATATTGATCATTGACAAAACTGGGCCCAAAAAAACAGATGAAGCTTAACTCCACTGAGTAGCTCTGCTTCCCACTGGTCATATTCCTGCCCTGCCACCTGGTCCCTACTGATGCACCCTCTGAACTGGGCTTCTGGAGGCCAAGCCCTACAGGAACTAAATCGGTCAGATCCAAAACTCCTGCTCCAGGACCATGTTGTCTTGCCTAGAAAGAGATCCCTGAAAATGCTTCTCTATAGTCATCTTTCTGCCTTGGCAACCCCATCTCCTCTATTTCTTCTCCCTGACTCCTACTTTTCCCTTCTTGCTCTGTCAATAATAATCAAAACATCACTAACACTTTCTGGTAAAGGTGTACTAATTAACTGTCATGTGGTTCTACCCACTGTCTCTGTGACTTCCCAGACCAAAACATCCTTCCTTAGCCATGACTTTCCTAGATATATTGTCTCTTCCTATTAGAAGATCCTCACGGTCCAAAACTCTCTCTTGTATTTACTTATAGCACCTGCACTTAGCACAGTGACTAGCACATAAAAAGTGTTTAACAAATGCTTTTGTGTTCATTCATTTACCTGAAAAATCTTCAAGTTACCTTGAGAACAGGCCAGAAAAAAGTGCTTTTAAATTCAACTGTGGATTTGGCATAATTCCAGCATTCACATAGAGGTAGTCTAGATGCTCAAACCTAGAAGCAAAATACAACGATAAAACATGGATTCCTTCAGCACATATTCAGAAAACTTGAAAATCCCAGAGCAAGGTCATTAAAGATAAATGCACAAAGGGTCAAACTTTCTTACTGAACCAACAGTTGACACAGAAACATGTGATGAGGCTATTCTCTTAAAAACTAGTCATCTTCAAAATAAATGCTTACATATCACTGTTAGTTCTTGGGCTCAGGCCTTCACATGTACAGGAATTTGCCATTGAGGATCGTGTTTCGGGCACAAAGGTACTCTTGATTTCCCTATCAATAATTGATAACCAGATGAGTCTAATTATCCAAGCCAATATAATAATGAGACCAGGGGAATATCTATTTTTAATGCCAAATTCCATTTAATTCAGCACATGTTCACATAACTGGGATTTTAGAAAGAGTTCCCAAAAGAATGACTAAAGGACATACAGCTGAACTTATTCATTGCATGATGAGTTATTGTTACATTATCTAATCTAGGCATCTATTTAGGAACATCCCTATCTTTTTCTGGAAAGATTCCTTTCCACAACACAAATAATCTGACTTCAGATTAACTAACTACCCTCAAAATTGCAAATTTAAATCTGCCTTTAAAAAATAATCAAACTAGAACAACCTTTATTTTCATGCCTTACTGTTTTTCCTACAAGTAATAAAACACAGCACTAAGGTAAACAAGACGTTGCTCAGCAGAATAGAAATGGCGTAAGTAAGCAAGCAGGAAGATAGTTCCAAAAAGGTTTCATCGTATCCCGTGGGTTTCCTTTCAACTCAAGTATTTTTTATGTGGCTTTGTAATTTAAAGACAATGTCTGGGGAGCATTTTGTGCATTTAAACTACGCAATTAGTTTCTAAAAAAGGAACTCTCCTTCCTTAGAGTCCTTTAAGAACAAGAGCCACACTCACCTGGCTGAGGCCCAGCCCCAAGCATGCCACGGTGCAAGCCTAGAGTGCTTTAAATCGATGATGACCTTTTGAGGATTTGGGCCTGAGATTTCATCAGTGCAGAGAAGTCCTGGGGGAGAAATCTCTAAACGGATCCCAGTCAGTGCCTCACCTTGACCTCAACTTTCTTAAGAGTTGGGAAGACAGTGAAAGGTACATATGACTCAAATAGGGTCACACAGGGAGCATATGTCAGAAGCATAACTTGAACCTACATCTTCCTACTTCCTAAGGCAGCCCTCTAACCACTAAGCCACCCTAATTCTCTAGACTACTTCTTCTTAAAAGTTTTATTGATACGGTTTACTTCTATGTTATAAACATTTCCAGATTATTCCCCTTCCTTGAAAACTCTTGTGTAAGAAAGTAACACAAATAGGTAAAACTAATGATAGCGAACTCAACTGAAGTGAATATATTCCCCATCAGTAGGACCTCATCTCCACTTCTCTATTTTAATTTTTTTGAATTAATAGACATCTATTTTCTTTTCCTCTCACCACCCTTACCCCTATCCCACTAGTGAAAAAAAAGAGAAAAGAAAAACAAATTCCTCCTAACAAAAACGTATAGTTAAGCAGATCAAACTCCCTCATTGGTTGTCTACAAATCTACATACATACATACCTACACATATCACATACAAAATTCTGCTCCTTAAATATCACTTCTCTGCCAGGAAGCAGATAGTATCATTGGTTCTCTGGAATGGTCATAGCATTGATCATAGTTCTTATAGCTTTCAAAGTTATTTTGTTTTACACTTATTATTTATAAATTGTTCTGATTCTGTTCATTTTTGTAATACTGATATTACCACATAAATTATTCTGGATCTGCTCACTTCTCCACGCCTCAGTTCATATAAATCCTTCCATGTTTCTTTGAAATCATCTATTTCTCATTTCTCAAAACACTACAGTACTCCATCACTCAAAGACTATGAATAACCCAGCCATTCCTTGATTGATGGGCATCCCTTAGCTTCCAATTTTGGGGGGAACCATGAGAAGATCTGCTATAATTTATTTTTAATATATAAGACCTTTTTATATTTCCCTGATTTCTTTTGGGTATAGGCTTAACTGTGCTATAGCTGGGTCAAGGAGTATGAACTATTTGTATATAATTTGTATAGTTAACTATTTGTATATAATTCCCAATTGCTTTCCAAAATGGCCGGACCCATTCGCAGGTACACCAAGTGTTATCAACGTGTGCTTTCCCAGAGTCCTTCTAATATTGATAATTTTCCTTTTCTGTCATCTTTGACAACTTGGTGGGTGTGACATAGGATCTTACAATTGCTCTAATCTGTATTTTTTGAATTAGTGATTTTGAGAATTTCTTCATATGGCTACAGATAACCTGATCTCTTCCTTTGAACACTGCCTATTCATATTCCTATAAATTTGAATCATCCCTTATATGTTGTAGAAATGAATATTTATTAGAGAAATTTGATGCAGATTTTTCCCTCCAATGTCACTTTTCTTTATTGGAGTTGTTTGTACAAAAATGTTTTAATTTTATGTCATCAAAGTTATCCATTTTAACTTCTATGATCCTCTCTATTTCAGGTTTGGTCAAGAATTTTTCTTCTATCCATAGAACTAATGGGTAATATTTTCCCCATGTTTCTCTGACTTGCTTATGATCTAACCTTTTATATGTAGGTCAGATCTTAATTTGGAGCTTATCTAAGGGTAAGATGTGAGGTGCTGGTCTAAATCTAATTTCTTCTATACTGCTATCTAATTTTCCCAGCAGTTTTTGACCAATAGTGAGTCGTCATCCCAGCAGCTAGGGTCTTTGGGTTTCTCCAACACTAGGCTGAGATACATTTGTTTTGTTATGTTGCGTATGAAATCTGTTTTATTGGTCAATTGCTCTATTTTGTAAACAGTACCAAATCATTTTGAGAATTACTGCTTTGTAATAGTTTAAGACCTAGCACTGGCCAGGCCCCCTTGATTCCCATTTCTTTTAATTATTTCTCTCGAAATTCTTGACCTTTTTTGCCTCCATATGATTTCATCATTATTTTTTCTAATTTATAAAACAAAACCTTAGTAATTTGGTATGGCACTAAACAACTAAATTAATTTAGGTAGCATCATTTTTATGTTGACTCATCCTATGAGGAATTAATATTTTTCCAATTATTAAGACCTGTAAACAATAGTTTGTAGTTGCATTTATGTAGTTCTTATGTGTAACCTGGCAGGTAGACACCCATGAATTTCATACATTACATAGCTATTTTAAATGGAATTTCTTGATCTCTTTCTTCTGGGTTTTACTGGTATTAGATAGGAAAGCTGATGACCTGCATTAATTTATTTTACGCCCTGCAACTTTGCTGCAGTTACTGTTTCAATTAAGTTTTTAGTTCTGTCTTTAGCGTTCTTTAAACCTAACATCATATCATCTGCAAAAAAGTTCTAATTTTGCTTCTTCTTTAACCATACTTAATGCTCTCAGTTTCTTTCTCTCATCTTCATTCCATAGCCAGCATTTCCAATACTATAAAAATAGGAGAGCTGACAATGGACATCCTCACTTCATCGAATGTTATTGGAAAGGACTATGGTTTATCTTGATTACACGCATTGGCAGCTCTTGGTTTTAGATATATATCATTTATCTCTGGGCTATTTCACACCATCACCAATGCCCTTTATGGTGAAAGGAATCACAAAAATTATTTGGAAACCCAAAATACAGGATAGGGAAACATCAATAATGTAATATGGCCTGTAACAACAAAAGTTAGGGTGAAGGAAAGAAAGTGAAATTTGTCCCTTCTGAACTCACACATCTAAAAAAGGGGAAACAGAAATAGTTCTAATGATATAGGGAAATAAATGTCAGGCCTTGTAGACGAGGGAAGCAAACTGGCATTTAAAACAGATGCTGGCACAACAAAATAGCCCCTGCTATTTCTTTCATGTTCTCCCTTTAGCTTATATGCACAAGATTCAGGATGGCACAGTGGGGAGAAGGCCAGCCTCCCCATCAGGAAGCCAGGGGGTTCCTGTCCACCTCTGACCCACACTGGCAAGACACTCATCCTCTCAGTGCCCCAGGAAGCACTCTAAGGCAGGAAGCTGCAGGGCACTTGCTGACCTGCACTGGTAAACGGAGTCTCTTAATTGGCAAGTCCCTACAAAAATAAAATCATGAGTCCAGTTCATCTTATCTGCACAGGGAGAAAAAAAAAAGGCTGCATGTTAAATTTCTCACATTGGACTAATTTTAGAAAGGTTGGTGCATTACGGTTCTGAGAAACAAGTTAAAACTTAGCACTGGGAAGACATAGGATTGAAGGAAAAGAACACTAGCTGTGAAGTCAGATACTTGGGTTCTAACTGAAATTCTGTCACCAGTTTTGTGCCATCTCAAGTTTACTTAACTTCTCTGTGCCTCACTATCCCATCTACTTCACAAGGTGGCTACAAAGAGTTAAAAAGAAGTGGAAATGGACATAAAGGTGCTCAGAAAAATTTAATATCTTATGCAAATAGAATATACAATTACAGACAACGATGCATCCATTTGCAAATTATCAAGAAGAGTGCAGTAATTTTTCACCAAGGTTCAGAGGCAGCACATGTTACAAATTAGGAATGAGATACTAAGACACTAAGGGGGAAACAGTGTCTCGGGCAGATGAATGCTCATCAGCAGACTTCAGGAGGAAGGACAATGGTTAGAGCCAAGAGATGTGACACCTCCTGGCTGTTTGACTCTGGTCAAAGCCATTTAAACCTCACTTTGCTCATGCAGAAAATGAATAACGATATTAGGCTTGCTGTGAGAAAAGCACCTTTTAAACCTCACAGCACTAAAAAAATGTGACATATCTGATCTGGCTAACTTTTTATATCTGATCTGGCTAACTTCGTCCTCCTAGAAGATCCCTTTAGTCCTGGGACTCACACCTTGGAAACAGCCTCAGTTCCCTGGGACCCTCCTTCTAATTGGAGGGCTCCTCCCAGAATCTCCATGTAACAAGGGTGCCCAGGTCAGCCATCTCTTCATTTCCCACCAGGCTGTTCTCTGAACTTCTCCACCATGCCCTTACATTAGGTACCTTCCTTTCCTCTCTCACCTTTTCAATGCCAGGCATGGCATCTAGGAGTCAAAGTAGATAGAGCACTGGCCCTGCAGTCAGGAAGACATGAGTTCAAAACCTGTCTCAGACAATTACTAGCCAGGTAACCCTAGGCAAATCACTTCACTTGTTTGCCTCAGTTTCCTCATCTGTAAAATGGGGATGATAACAATAGCACCTACCTCCCAGGGCTGATATGAGAATCAAATGAGATAATAATTATAAAGTAGTACTTAGCACAGTGCCTGGCACATAGGAACTGCTACATAAATGCTAGTTGTTGTTGCTGTTATTGATATTATTAAATGCTTACTGACTGACTCGACCTGGCTGACAACCCTTCTTTTTAAAAAGCAGACCACCCCATCACCTCAGAAGAGAGAACCAACTACTAAGACATACCTTTGTTTGAGTTCTCTTGAGGCCTGAAATACAGATTGCAGGTTACTAACATCTATCTGTAGGAGTGTGATCTCTGCTCTGGGGTGAGAAGACAGCAGAGCTACTCGGGCAGCTTCAGCCTTTCCCAGGTTCCTGCACGCTAAACACAGATGAAGTCCATCGTCTTCAGAGAGCAGCCTTTCACAGAGGGCCAAGCCAATGCCACTGAAATGACAATTCAGGGAGACGACATCATGGCACCAGGACCAAGCTCCACGCCAACCAGATCTGAAATCCCGTTTCACAACACAGACGCTGCCCGCTTTGGCTCAGGAGACCCACCTCTCAGGAGGAAGCAAGTGGAAAAGCCGTCAAAGATCTTCTTAAAAATTTCAGTCATGTCAACAAGTACCTATTAAGCACCTACTATGTTCTGGGTGCTGGGCTAAGTGTTTGGGATGTAAAGAAAGCAAAAATCAATCTGCTCAACAGTCCTCTACAAGCTGAATGGCTTCATAGGTGGACAATAACCACCAGAGAGCCCTCAGAACTTAGATTTTGTTTATCTTGTCCTTAGCTCCAACTCTTCTCAAGGTCTAATGATGAGGAATCAATAACAGCATGCTAGTCATTGTTCCACATAGAGATCTTTCACCTTCCTCAGTATACAGAAACAGCTGGCCTGAATCGACTGTGGGATGTTTTCATTTCTGCCATGGTCAAACCAATGCGATCAAAATGCCAGATGTCCTCCAAGAATGTCTCCCTATACTGAGGGCCGTGAGAGACAATGAAAAGCTCCTGGAGGTCGGGGGAGGAGGGGCACAGATCAGGTGCCCCCGATCAGGTTCGACCTCCTATCTGAGATCATTCCTGATGCCCCGTTGTTAGGGATCTCCAGCTTTTCAAACTACTTTGTACTGTGTGTATGAACTCTGCATGAGGGCAGGAACTACTTCTCTTTGCCCTCATCACCTAGCAAGGCACTTTGCACACAGAAGATGCCTAAGCAGCAACTAACTTGAAATGAAAAGTATTCTGGCCTGTGTCAAGAAGGAAGAAGACATCACACCAATGAAAAAATGAAACCACGAGGACCACTGGACTTGGAGATATGAAATCAGATCCCCAGACCTGTCTTAATTTATTATGTGCTAAAGAGCTCAACATTCCTGCAAGTACATAAGCTACTCTGAGTAGCCGGGACCTGCCTATCCTGTAGGACTGTGGAAAGGAGCTTTCCCATGGGAAACTTTACTGCCTTTAGGCAGACAATGAACACATTTGTGTAATCTGGCGTAAAAAGTTATAAATTGCTCAGCTATATTCAACTCAAATGAAAAGTCTGACTACGGTAACAGTTAACGTATCTGTAGGCTGGCTTCCCATGTGGCTGCAAGTCAGCAAGAGCAATGGTTTGGCCAAGCAAGAAAACGCAGAGTTCTGAATCAATTATTCAACAGAGCTAAGAAAGAAACTTGAAGGTTTTCTAAAAAGGAGGAAGCTGGATGCTGTGGGTAGGGGGTGGGGGTGGGGAGAGGCAGCTATTTCTAATTCAAGGAATAATGTTGTTGGTCCACAGGTGCTGTCAGTTGACCACCTGGTAAGGGTGAGAGGAAGAAGAGATGAGTGGAGGAGGTTACTTGGACCTTGCTGAGACTTTAGAGCAGTGGTCTCAAACTCAGATAGAAGCATGGGCCCCTAATCCATACATAAGGTTCCTTGTGGGCTGCACATTGACTTAGTTTTAAATTGTAATGTTTTCTATATTTTATTGCATTTTTACGTTGTTGAATATTCCCCAATGACATTTTAATCTGGTTCAGGCCGCACTCAGGAGTGCTCTGGGCCACATGTGGAAGCCAGTTTGACGTCTCTGCTTTAGAGTCTTATTTATTAAGCCCATCACACAACAGAGAATTTTGTCTTCGATAAGCAAATATTTAAGCCATAACAGAGAACATCCCAAGACTTGTCAAATCAAATGATTCCTACTCACTTTTGGTGGTCCTCACAGGCATAAAGATGCTCAAAAAAGAAACTTTGAAAGCACTGCTAAGGATTACAAAGTCCTGAGCAAGAAACTGACATCCTTAGGGGACTAGGTGGGGTTTTTTTGTTGTTGTTGTTGTTTTGTTTTGTTTTGTTTTTTTATCACAGCTGTCTGTTAAATGCAAGGATTCTGAAGAGAAAAATTAGGTTTGGGAAGTGAAGTTGGCTAAGAAAATGGTGGCACAGAATTTGGATTTCTGGACCATAAGATAAAAGGGACATGCTTCTAGCAAGAGAAAGAGTGTATCTAAAAATATCTAGATGTATTATTGCAAATCTAATCAAGAGGGCTTTAAACTAGAAAAGGAAAAGGAATCGGAGGAATATTGCCCATGTATATCCATCAAAATAGACTCAAATGTCTGACATGGGACATTCTGGCAAAGGATCGCCCATCATGGCACGCTCACATAAAAGAAAGTGTGTGTGCTATGGAAACAGAACTGCAGTAGCTCAAAAGAAATTTGAGATACACAAATTTAGAGACATCTCTACTCCAAATGTTCATGTGGACTATTTGTGCCCAACCTGAGCTAATACTGGTCTGATCAGCCACAGTCAGACACACTAGACCTTGAATCCAACACAGTGATGTCATTTTGGTCCTCTTCGAGAATGAAGGACAACAACTGATTGAGCTAGAATACAGAAAGATTAGAGGCTGAGAAACCCAGAAGTTCACAGGAGACAAAATCCGAGAAGTATACTCATGTCCTCTGACATCTATACAAAAATATACAAAGTATGGAAAACAAGCAAGATGAATAGAAATCTGAATCAGCTGAAAGTGAGGTGATCAAGCTCTGGTATCTGTACTGTTTCCTACATTTTGCAGCAAAGGCTATTCAAAATGAGTGACTTTTGCACGTAATAAGTGAGTGTACACAACAGGAAAAGAAAAAGAGCCCAAATGCTAAACTAAAGTATCCAAATGATTGAAGGATATCCTCTACAGCCAAATGAGGCCTCTCAAGGGGGCTGAGAACGGGGGATGCTGCATGTTTGGGGCTCTGCAGCTAGCCTCCAATAGCTCTCAGGCTACTACGTATAATATCAAGTTATGAGGTAAGAGAGGGGAAAGGAGAAAGAGGGCGACAATGAAGAAAGCTCCCTAACTAGTTCTTGTTACACAAGCAAAGTTCTATTTCCAACATGTCAGTGAGATTCCACCAGTTTTTCCCAATTATCAGGGACTCTTGGACAGTGACTAGCAGGAAAGCATGATATTATCTCTCCCCTGTACTCCTAGGGCTCTGCTTTGGCAACTCTGAGCATTAGAACTGATTAAATAGACAGCGAAAGAAAAGGAAATTGGGGAGAGAGTTCAACTCACCCATCTGAGCAACTGGCTGTAAACTGACTAGGCCCAGTCTAATAGAGATAGAGGCCTGTTCTCATGATCTTGGCTAGACTCTGAAAATCACTTCTACATAAATTTCCCAGAATATAGGGGCTCATCACCACAAATAATCATTATTTCAGAAAGGCCTCCAAAGCAAAAAAAAAAAAAAAAGGAAGAAGGAGGAGGAGGACATCATTAAGTTTGTTCACGGCCTGGATTTTGGACAGCTTTCCTGTGCTGGTCTCCAGATTCTAAAGCATGCCATACATGAGGTCAACAGGTAAACACACATTTACGGTTTTCACTGACTACTTCATCTCACAGTGTGCTGGACCTACAAGATGAGACAGCAACTACTGAATAGATCTTACAAGATCCTAATGCAAAGAGGAAAAACTGACTTAAGAGGTATCACTTATAGTTAGGAAAATAAGACTCATTACTGGAATATTGCTTTGGAAAGTAATGGGAAGAAGAAGTAGTATCAGGGTAACATTGTATATTAACAAACCATTGGCATTTCAGTAATTTCAGGAACCTGGAAGGGAGAGTGAGGGTAGAACACAATGGAGATCCTTTGGGTCAGTATCAATGAAGGCAGAAACAGAAGCAACATTGCTCCTGGAATACAAGACAGAACATCTGGGCTGAAAGAGGAAGTAGATCAAAAGGGTGGCATTAAGGCATGACATGAATTACATGGACAACTACTAAAACTAGATCTCTCAGCCAAATAATCTGCTGGCTTCATTTAATAATTTCATTCTTATGAAGGTACCCATAAGGTGAAATCTCTTCTGAATATCCTGACCAACAAGGTTACTAGGGTGGAAATGATGGAAACCTTCAGGAAAGTGGCTGCCTCCATTTCTTAGAAGAGGAGAAAAGGAAAGTCAGAAACAGTCAGACATATATCCTGTATTTATTTAAAAAGAACACAGTTCAAATGATTCAAAGAAGGGATGGGTAGGATGGATCCCCAGGGCATACAGGGAGTAACGGGAAGTCGTCATGAATGTAATCCTCAAGATACAAAGGAAAACTATTCTAATGATGAAAAAGGAGAAAGGTCCAAAGACACCAATGTGGATATGCAAGAGACTCACGAGCTGATACATCTTTAAAAGACAAAGAGAGGAGCAACGTTAGATAACACAGGATGAATCTTAGAGCATGGCAAATGGTTATATAAGAAGTGTCGGCACTACTAAGGCTCATTTATGTCCTAAGGATGGCAAAGAAAGCAAAGGATTTGTCCTGAACACACACACACCCTTACTCCTCACCAAAAAGTGTTTTCAGCTACACTGGGGAAAAGAGAGATAGCAAAGAAGAAACAGGCTTCCTAGTTAGGGCAGATGGGACAATGATAACTGATGAAACTAGAGCTGTTCTTACATTCAGCTTCTGTTTTCTCTACCAAGGATAAGGAGTTTTGATTCTTTGGGAAGGACAAAATACAGCTAACTGGGAGTAGGTACTCAAGACCAGTAAGGAGACAATAAGAAAGCTGCAAGCTCTCCTGACAAGTTCAAGTCATTAGGCCCAGATAAAGTGAAAAACTGGCCAATGTAATTATCATCAGCTATTGCCAGTCATCTCTAAAAGTTTGTGGAGAACAGGAAACATATTGCAAAACTGAAGGTCAAATGACTTGACTCTGGAAAGGAATAGAGTCCACAAACTTCAATTCTTGACAAAATTCTGGAATATATGATTAAAGAGACAGTGAACGTACTAAAAAAGGAACCAGAGATCACAGAGACAGTAGGACTTCATAATAGTCCTGAATATGACATGACACTGTATTCCATCAGACTTTTTCAATGTTGATTAGTCTAGTAGAAGTTTTTTCATTTCTTCTTTATCATAAGCAAGAGCTCTATGGGAGGGGAAGAGGTAACAATACATTACGAAATGTAGGTATGTAAAAACAAAAGATAGAAATAAAAAAAATTTAATTCCCTTTTTTTGAGTTACTAAACTGGTAAGTTGGGGAATGCTATAGATACTGTTTACCTGGATTTTTTAATTTTCTTTAATTGAGTTTACTGATACCTGTTTGTACATCTTGGTCATTTCTTTATATATCATATATACTGCCTTCTCCCATCCCCAATACTCACTGAATCCTTCCTTGTAACAAAGAAAAAGAAAGTACAAAGGAAAAATAGCAGATACAAGGAAAGCAGATCTATATGCAACTTTGTAGTTTATATAGATAAGTAAGGCAATTCTGAGGAAGTCATATATCATATTGTAGCATATTTAGGATTCTGTATTGGTCGAATTGTGAGACTCCCAAAGTGGTCATTGATTGTTTGATCACAGCTTGAAAGGTGGAAATAACCCCAGCACCACCCACACCATCTCTTGCATGTATCCCTTCCTCTCCACTCACAGGGGCATCGTCTGATTTCATCACCTCTTTCAAGGCCTATTGAAATAGCTTCCTCTTAAGTTCTCCTTGACTCAAGTACCTCCCTTCTCCAATCCACGATTTTTCTTAAGTACAGGTCAATAAAGCTGAGTGGCTCACTACTGCCTCTAGGACTAAATACAGACTGCTTTGCTTGGTACTTCTGTTTTTTCACCCTCTTGTTCCTTCCTACCTTTCCAGCCTTCTAACACATTACTCCTTTCCTTGAACTGCTCGACTCATTGCTCTACACAAACAAAACTGTATCTCCCACCTACACGCCTCGCACTGGTTATCACTCCACTCCTTCATGAAATGCATTTCCTCCTCACCTGGGCCTCTTGTAATCCTTCGCTTCAAGGTGCAGCTCAAACACCACCTTCCACTCAAGGCCTTTCTTAGTCCACTAGGGGCTGGGGAGGTCAGTACGCTGAGCCTGGAGTCAGAAAGATCTGAGTTCAAACTCAGACTCAGATGCTTACTAGCTATGACCCCGGGCAAGTTACTCCATCTGTTTGCCTCAGTTCCCTCATGTTTAAAATGGAATAATAGCAGCACCTACCTGCCAGGGTTGTTGTAAGGATCAAATTAGATATTTGTAAAGCACTTAGTACAGTACCCAGCACACAGTAAGAACTATATAAATGTTGGCTATTATTATTATTAAATACAAACTCATGTTCTCTCTAACATTAGGATGGATGCTCTTTGAGAACTGAGACTGTTTCTCCTTTTTCTTCAAAAGATGTGGCAGCTTTAGGGTGTGCGGAGGGGCAGAGCATCCTGGAATAAGGATTTGCTAGTTCCATGGCACACGGTCTTCCTATAGTTTTACATTTAGTCTTGGGCGCTCTTGATGCATCAGAGTATCCAGAGGAAAGCAACCCAAATTATGAATGGCCTTGAGCACATAAAGACCAAATGAAGAAACTGGGAAAGTCGTAATCTAGAGAAAACTTAGAGGATTATGTAATCATTGTCTTCCCATACTTAAAGGGTCATCATGTGGAACAGGTCTTAAACCTCAGAGGGCAGAACCAGGACTAATGAGTGGAAGTTGTAAAGAGGGAAACTGAGGCTTGAGGTCAGTAAAAACTTTTTTCCCATTTAGGAGATGGGCAGCCTTGAAGGTAACAGGGCTTTATTGGAGGGCTTCACACAAAGCTGGGATTCTTTTTCAGATGTGGGTTGGACTTGATGACCCTTCCAATTCTGAAATCCTGAGAAAGAGGGACGTGGATGTCGCCTCAATATAAGGATGAACAACCCACTAACAAATGAAGTGGTGCACAATCAGAGTGGCTGTTTTAGAATTCAGTGAGATTCTCATCACTGGACGTCTTCAAGATGGTAACTTATAAGGGATATCAGACAGTAGTTATGTTTGGGAAGAGGTTAGTATAGATGACCTCTAAGATACTTTGCAATTTTCCATTCCTACAAAATCTGAACTTGCATAATAAACAAATACAAGTTGAAGAAAACTTGGTGTAGTTTTAGAGATTTTTTTTTAAAGAAAATAGGAGTTTAAGAGAGAAGAAGAAACAATTACAAAGAAAAACCAGAGAAGAAGAGGTAGTTGTAAGAGTGGAACAGAGGTCAATAGGGAAAAGATGGATAGAAAGAGCTAAATAGCAACAGCGATCATCTAACACAAAAAGCACCCTGGTCAATCAATCAAAAAATATTTGTAAGAGCACTGCTACTTCGGCATGCCTATGATTGCAGCCCATGTGGCCTGAACCCAAAGGAACATCAGCTAACAACTATTTCTGCATTCAGCAACTGCTAACATTTTAGTTTCTCTTACCATTTCCAAATTGTGGGCCCTTTTTGTACCCTTTCCAAAAGACTTTGGAACTTTCTGGAACTTTGGAACTTCCCAATAGCTGTCTGCTCTTCAGGGAACACTCCATACCTTCGGTAAACTGGCTGCAGGAATAATATGAAGGAGAAACAGGGGCAGAGGATGTGTAATAACTGCTTTCAAGTCCTCAAAAGTCTGATTGAAAGATTAAATGTTTGGCTCTAGAAGGCAGAACGTGTAGGACAGAAGGCAGATGAGGAAGAATGTTAAACCCTGGCAGAGAAGTGAAGAACTAAATATGCAGAATGAGACACACATTTTTGTACGTAGCCAAGATGGGAATTTGTTTTTGCTTGACTATTAACGTTAAGAACAGCTAAAAAAAAATTTAAAAAAAAAACAAAACAGCTAGCAATTGCAGATCGAAAGCATGCAAAGCACTTTACACTTTATCTCAGTTGAGCTTCACAACCACCTGGGAGGTAGGTGCTTTTTTAGCTCATTTTACAAATAAGGAAACTGAGGCAGACACAAGCGTCACAGAGCTGTCTGAGACAGGATTTGAAATCAGACCCCCAAGGCCAGCACTATTCATTCTATCCACCAATACTTCAATTCAATAAACTTGTATCAAGTGCCTACCGTTTTCTCTTTTAATCAAGTGAGATAATGCACGCAAACGGCTTTGCAAGTTATGCTAACTATTGTGATTTTTTTTTTTGGTGGGGAGACGGGAGGGAGAAAAACTAAACGCATGTTACTGAAAAAATGTCAGTTTTTAAAGTTTTTTTTTTTAAAACAACTGGAGCTGTCCAGAAATGGAAGGGCTGTTTTCCTTTTGGAGGTCGTGGGTCTCCCCATCGCAAGCCTGGATGGAGGAGGGGGCGGGCGGTGCCGGAGGGTAATGGCCTGAATGACCTTTGAACTCTTCTGATCTAGTTCCCCCCTCCCATTTTCTTCCCCCCTGAACCTGAACCCCCACCTCCTCTCTGGATCCCAGACGTGATGCCTCTGGCTGGCTCCTTCCTGTGGGGAGGGAAACGCGCTCACCTGCTGGCCCCGGTGACCACCACCACCTTCTTCATTGCCCTGAACATTTAAAGACACTTGACAGCAGTCAGGATATGGAGCATTTGATACGGTACGATAGCACATGCACCTGAAAACCTTCTGATAACTCTGGCCCCGCCTACTAGCTCAGCCACCAATCCCACCTCGTTTAGGACCTCTTCTCTCTGCCTCATCACGCGCCCTCATTTTCTAACTGTCCAATGCTGATTCAGTTTGGAGTCTCCCTTCCCCGCCCCGCTTGCAGCCTCGCTGTCATTTAGACCAATCGCAATCCAGCATTCCGTCCAGATGTAGCGCTCATTGGCTAAGCGAAGGTGGGACGAGAGGCGGGCTCAAATGGGCGCAGCCACTCCCGCTGCCCGGATGCACCCCAATTTGATCCAGCTGGAGTCTCAGCATCCGGAACGTCATTGCGCCTGCTCCAGCCCAGGGATGCTATTTGGTTGGGCAGAATGACGTCAGAAGAGAGGTGTGGCGGGGCGCTGGAAGGCGAGGTATTGTTTTTTTCTGTCTTTTCAGTGGTGTCTCCCTCCACGTGACCGCATTTGACAGAGATGCTGGAGTGGTTTGCCATTTTCTTCTCCAGCTCATTTTACTGATGAGGAACTGCGGCAAACAGGGTTTGACTTGCCCAGGGTCACACAGCTAGCATCTAAGGCCTGATTTGCCCTCATGAAGAGCCCAGTGTTCTAGCTACTGCGCCACCTAGCTGCTCGAGGCCAAAGAAGCAGGTCCGCTGCGCGAGGGACGATGGGCGCGGCTTAAGATGACGTTTCGGCGGAGGGGGGGGCCGAGTGACTTCCCGGGAGAGGCGCACCCAGCTGGCCACCTGTAGGCTTTCACATGGTGTTTTGCCCTAAGACTTGTCTCTTCTTTTTTTTATTTTGATTTTTTAAGATTTAAATCTTACTTTTCCCCATTAATAAGCATTTATTTTCTCTCCTCATTTCAAAAAGTGAAAAACAAAACCCTTATAACAAATAGTCAGCCAGGGGGTGCAGTGGCTAGGTCCTGAAGTCAGAAAGACCTGAGTTCAAATTCAACTTCAGACATTTACTAGCTGTGTGACCCTGGGCAAGTCACTTAACCAATGCCTCCGTTTTCTCATCTGTAAAATGGGGGTAATAATATCACCCACCTCCCAGGGTTGTTGTGAGGATCAAATGAAATATTTGTAAAAAGCACTTAGCATAGTGCTTGGCCTATAGTTACGCCCTATATAAATGTTAGCTTTTTTTTTTAATGTGCTTATGAGGAGGATGGGATCTAGACCCTCCAAAAGGAAAAACCCAGGACTTTCCCACATAGCCAAATCTCTTGGTGTTCACCTGAGGCCATAATCCCATCAACTGGCCTTTCACTGTGGCAACACGCAGTCTCTCAATTCTCTGTTACCCTTAACCTAGCCTAGCCCTCCATTGTTTTACCTGTGTCCCCTTGCCACTTCCGCCCTTAATCCTAGCTAGGCTGCATTCTCCCTAGGCCAAGTGGTGCAGGTCCCTGGCATTCTGTTACCTCACTATAAACTACTTGGCCACTCCTAGATCCCTCCTACAGTCTTTCTGTATATAAGGTCCATCTTGTCTCCGTTAAGATACTAGGATTCTTATAATCTAGCCACTGCTCAGATTTTTATAATCTAGGCAATAGCTTACAGATGTTCAGACTCCTTAAGAGTCTGCCCAATATAATGGATGTTTTAATAAACCTTGTGTTTGGCTGAAAGAAAGCTTGGGTCGAATTCTTTTAGATAGGACCCACATATTCTGATTTTGGGGTCCCAGCACCCCTAAACTCCTAAACCTCAACACATAACCTGGCAAAACAAATTCCCACATCAGCCATGTCCAAACATATATGAGACCTCTAGGACTTGCAATGGATAGATTGCTGAACCTGGAATCAAGAAGATCTGAGTTCAAGCCCTGTTTTCAGACACTGCCTGACTCTTGGCAAATCACTTAAGCCATCTGCCTCAGTTTCCTCAATTGCAAAATAAGGATAACAATAGTACCTGCATCACAAGATTTTTGTTGAGAATCAAGAGATTTGCAAACCTTAAAGGCATTCCGCTCGAGTCCATCCTCTGACAGGAGATGAGAAACATGCTTCATAATGGGTCCCCTTATCATTGCATTAATCGCCATTTTTAAGTCTTTCAAAGTTAATAATCCTGATGATGTTATTGTATAAATTGTTCTGCTCGGTTCACTCTGGCTCAGTTCATCTAAGTCTTCCCAATTTCATTATTTCTTACAACTCGATGACATTCCATTCAAGTGCTATAGTTTGTTCAGTCTTTCTCTCATCCAGATATTTGGTCCATACTTCCACATTCTTGTTGTTGTTGTTGTTGTTCAGCCATGTCTCACTCATCATGACCCCATTTGGAGTTTTCTTGGCAAAGATATTGGAGTGGTTTGCCATTTCCTTCTCCAGCTCATTTTACAGATGAGGAAACTGAAGCAGATAAGGTTAAGTGACTTGCCCAGGGTCACACAGCCAGTAAGTGTCTGAGGCTGGATTTGGCTTCAAGTCTTCCTGACTCCAGGCCCAGTGCTATATTCATTGTGCCATCTAGCTACCTTTCCCCATTCTTACAACATACTCAAATCCGGTAATACAACTTGCCAAGAAAGTAAAACAATCTTGGAAATCTAAGAAAAGTACATAAGTAAAACAGTATTCCATTAGTGCATTGTCCTGGTCTCAACTCCCCAACCCCCAAACTAGAGTATTGTGTTTGGCTCTGAATACCATTTTTTCATGATATTCTCCATCATTCCCAAGGAACCCCTTTTCATCCTGCAAGGTCATCGGTTTAGCCATCATCCATATCTTCTGTCCCTGGGGCCCCTTCTTCCTTCTGATTGAAGGGTAGAGATGGAGGGTAAACAACATAAAGCTCCTCCCAAAACCTCCAATTCAGAAGGGCTCCTAAGCCAGTCATCTCTTTGTTTTCCATCTGGCTGGACTCTTCTGGACTTCTCCATCACAGCCCCATGCCAGATACCGTCCTTCACCATTGTGGCATCTCCCAACACTCCCAGCTTTTCATCTCCCATTTGTATATTGTCTTTTTCTATTAGATTGTAATTTCTTTGAAGGCAGGGACTGTAAATTTGTATTTCTTTTTGTTTTGTATTTGTATTCCTAGTGCTTAGCACAGTGTCTGATATACAGTAGGTACTTAATATTTATTGACTGATTAACTGGCATTTACTAAGCATTTACTTACAGGCACTATACTAAGTGCTAGTGTAATGCAGAACATTATTTTGCCATTTACGTAGTAGGGCACTTTAAGCCATGGAAAGCAAAAGTTGGTGCTTAATCTTGCCCCAGACCTCTTTCCTCCTAAATCTAAACAATAGTGAAATGTACTCTTGCATAGCTCAGCATAGCCCCTACCTCCAAGCAAATGGATAAGAAAGCTTGCAACATAATTGCTTTAGATAATTATGTTTATACCAGAGACCAGGACACCTGGTCTAGTTTGTGTGATCTGTGACCCGTAACAATGGGGTGCTGGAGTGCTTATGCTTGTACTTGTGCCCCAATTTCTCCCTAGTCGCAGAAACACTGTCTCTGACAACCATTCCCCAGCCCAAGGACACTGTGGCTAGCAGTTATTCATGCATGGGCCTCAGCATGACCCTTATCTCTCTCCCTGGTACAGCTACACAGAGCTGGGCTGCTCAGGCCCCAGCCCTCAGGTCATGTCCCTGGAAGCCTCCCCAATTCCTCAGTAAGTTCCTGTGTTGTGAGAAAGCTTTCCCTTGTTGCAGAGCATTCTCTCATCAAGACCAGCCCAAGGACTCCTTTTTGGGGGGGGGCTTTTTTTTTTTAGGCAGTTGGGGTTAAGTGACTTGCCCAAGGTCACACAGCTAGTAAGTGTCAAGTGTTGGGTCTGAGGCCATATTTGAACTCAGATCCTCCTGACTTCAGGGCCGGTGCTCTATCTACTGCGCCACCTAGCTGCCCCCAGCCCAAGGACTCTTCCTCCTGCCAGACTCCAAAGATCCATCTCCTTCCCTGTCCGGTATACTCCCTGTACTTTCCCATCCATAGCCCCCAAAGACACCTGCACCTTTGGATTACCTCATCAGTGTTCCTGGCATTTCTTTCCCATGCTCTTTTCCATATAAACCCTAGCTCGACTCCTGATAGGGGCTGCTTGATTTGGATGTGCATACCCCTGGCAGCGCACGCTAATAAGTACACATTTTAAATTACATCTGGGTCTCGCTCGCTGATTTCTCGGTACAACACTAGGAATGAAAGACCTGGAGATTTTTAGCTACAGAAGAGGAGATGGGGGGGGGAGGTAATATAGAATTGTGAGGGACAACAGGGCATCATGGCTGTCTTCCATTATTTGAAGGGTTTATTTAGCTTAGCTCCAGAACGAGGAATGAGAAATTGGAGTTTCAAAATGCCAAATGTAGCATTGATGTCCGGTGAGAGTTATGCAGTAGTGGCAGTACAGGCTGGCTCAGGAGGTAGCAGTTGCCCTTCTCTGGGAGTCTTAAAGCAAAGGCTGGATGACCATTTTCCCAATATAATGCAGAAGACATTCATTTTTCAGGCCCAAGATTCTGTTTCTGCTCCCTTGCTTGCTTTCTTGATTCCCTCTGCCTCCTTGGCAAGTCATGTTGCCAGGTTTGAATTTCTTGGAGGAATGTGGAAATAGGGGCCAAATGGCTGAATGAGAGAAAGCTGTAATGTAACAATACTTTGTTCAGTAGGTTCCCAGGGAATTGATTATCACATTGCTTATGACTATTTCATTTGCTACTGGGAGTGTTTTCTCTTCTACCCCATCACCGTACCTTCTACTTGGCACTCAAAACTTCTGTATTGTTCCAGAATAGCCCAGGTAGAATCTGAATCTCAGCTATTCCTTATTAACAGGGAAGCATCCCTACTTACTTCATATCTCTCTAGAGCTAACCTGCCCCTTTTTCCAACTGAAGCCAGCTCACTGGCTCCCTCAACAGAATAAGAGCTTTCTATGGACCTACATACTCTCTCCCTAATGCCTCTAGGACTCTATTCCTGAACTAGACCCTGTTTGACCAAAAGCTACTACAACCCCTAGCCAAGGAAGGCACTGCCTTTAAAATTTAGGTTGCTCAAGAAGAAAAGGAAAT